CTGAGATCTTGGGAAAGCTATATAACACTCTGAGCCTGAATTTTTTTCATCTGAAAAATTTACGATAATAATATTCACCTTATATAGAGTATGAGGATTAAGTGAGATTACAAGTTCTTAAAGTACATACAATCACATTCTGGGTATATACTAATTGGTCTAATTCATTATACTATCTTTTTCATCCTCTTGCTCAGTTTAGCTCCCACCTAACTTTTGAGACTTACCTCAAAATTAGCTATTACCTGCCACTCTCCCCCAAGCACATGTATGTGTTGACACATAAGTGCATGCATGCCCATACACATACATGCACATCAGACTACTTACAATTAGCTACTCATAGTCTCCTAAACACAGCCTGCACTTTCCTCCCTCCATGTTTTGATTTGCAGATTCCCCTTAGCCTTAAATGTGTCTTTCTCATCTCTTTCAAAATCCTACCCAATTTGTGAGACCCAACTTCCCACTTCCTGTTAAGCTTTTCTTTATCTTCTCAGCTGTCATTGTCTCATGCTTTCTTTTCATTTCACTTTTAATGTGTGCCTTTGTTGTAGAAGTTAATATGTAATGCTTTATATTACTATTATAGCTTTTTATGTGAGCCCTTCCACCAGACCTGAGCTTCTTAGGAGCAGAGATCACAATTTATCTTGGTGCCTTGCAGATAGTAAGCACACAAAAAAGGATTGTTAGGATCTTAAATGTAAAAAAAAAGAAAAAAAAAAACCACCCAAAACCCTTTTTATATTTGTTTTTATTTCTAGGTTTAGATTAAGCATAGAAATATATTCATTCTTGATGTTTTTTACCATTAAGTAGTCATGTGTTAAATAGTGAAATAGCTGGTTGGTTTTAAATATTGTTTTAGTTTCCTGGTGATTCTTTAAGTTTCCTAGATCTTAAATTAATATCAAGAATAAAAATAGTTATTAGGCAGAGAATTTTTTTTTAGGAAAAGAGACCTTCATCCCACTCATAGAAGTTTGAAAATAATTTTCTTAATTAAGGACAGGATTGAGTAGGGGTTTCATTGAGGTAATAAAATCAACTTGGATGATAAGAATTGGGCTGTTTGGTTATCAGTAGTCTTCAGTAGGGCCTACACTAGAATAGAGGTTGGGGAATTGGATGATTTAGTAGACAATGGCCTGTATGCAGTATGCATTACTGTGCAGCAGTTAAGGAGGTGAATCTTCAAGCACTTAAATTTTTGGAAAGATCTTATTAAATGAAGAAAGAAAAACCAGCAAGCCATAGAACAGTATATACATTATGATCCCATTTACAAATAGTGTTTAATATTTTTTTGTACATTTACATTCATACAAAAGCATAAACAGTATGTATCTTCTAACAAGATCTAGAAAGATATACATCAAGTTCATAACCATGGTTACCTCTGAGAAGGAGTGTGTGGATATAAGAATTGAGGAGCAATGAAGGTGGGCTTTCTGTTTTTGTTCCCTTTGCTTCTGAATAGTTTAAATTCGGTAGCAGGGGAACATATTTATGTGTTGCTTATACAACTAAAAAAAAGAAAAACACCAGAAAGGAACAGCATTGAGAACAGAATTTTTTTAGGCTCTAAATTACAAAAACAACCTCTGTACCAAATTTATCTTTTTTTTTTTTACATTTTATTCTAATTTTTATTGATATTTTCAACAGCTGCCATTTGGTTCGTATAGCAATTTTTAAAGTTTTTTTCTGTTTTTGCTATTTTTATGAAAATTAGTTTTTTCAATTTTAAAGCCCTGCCCCTTCCAAAGATGTAGTAATTACCATGTAATGTTTATTTAGGGGAAAAGGGGAACAAAAACACTTTTAAACACTTATGAAGTGTAGGGATAAAGGTCCAAAGTCAAGACCCTGGCCTGCCAGAAGTGCGAAGCTGCCTCTGGACACCATCAGCGCTTCACCAGCCGCACCAACAGGAGGTGGGCCATGCACGGACCCTCTGGGGGCTTCTTGTTTCACAAGCTGCACTCCATTTCTGCTCTGGCCCTCCTCTGCTGCGGTCCTCCTTCCCCCAAATTCTGTCCAAAAAAGGCAGCATGATCTTTAACAGAGGTTCCGCTTTGTGATGGAGACAATACCGTATTTAGAAAGTTCAGACTCCCCATCCAGTTGCGGAGGAAAAAATCTCCAACAGTATTATTGATGGTTCACTTTCTTGTGCACTCAAACACATGCTCATACTTTAGAATAAATTAATTACCAAATGCTTCAAATGTCCTGACATGTAGATAGCAAAAAAGTTCCTTGTAAAAAAGAAGTTGCAAAATTATCATAAAAATTTCTGCAGCAGTTCAGGCTCCTTATGTGGAGCTTCTGATGACAAAGCTGGTTCTGATAAACAGTTCCTTTAATGTGCACAGCACCTTCTCCTAGAGTCCTATGTTCTGAGAGTTTAGACCACGAGAGGTTGAAATCCAAGTTTAAAAGACTTGCTGACAAATTTTGGCATATCTCAATGGAATACTATGCAGCAATAAAAAAGAACTAACACAAGTTAATGATGGATGAACCACAAAACATGCCAAGTGAAAAAAGTCAGAGGCAAGAGACCACATTTTGTATGATTCCGTTCATATCATGTCCAGAAAAGACAAACTTATAGAGACAAAGATTGGTGTCACTTACAGCTGGGAACAGGAATTACCATATAATAAACAAAGGATCATATTGCAGGGGATGAAAATGTTCTAAAACTAAGTTATGGTTATGGCTGCACCACTCAGGAGAGTTACTAAAATCCCTGAATTTAATATTTGAAACGGGTGAATTTTGTACCAAATTTATCTTAACTCCATCATCCATTTTCAGATTTTAGGCCTTTGGGCTATTGCCATTCAACAATTTAAAAAAAAAAAAAGAGAGAGAGAGTAGGGGAGGGGGTTAGAAGGAGTCTTCAGAGTAATTTTTACAAGTATTATTTTCACTAGCAGAGGTACAGCCATAGTTTCACTTCCAGTTCCTTTTGCAAGTTTCTGTTTAGGGAACCTTAAATCACTTACCTCTAAAGTATCATGCTACTGCTTTTATACTATCTCATTCAGGAAGCTTTGGAGAGGGAAGTGTAGACCAGGAGGGAAAACGTTAAAATAGATTAATGTTCAGCTTATTACATATCTCTTGTACTGGTATCTAATTCCTGGGATATTTCCTTGCTCTGTGTTTCTGTATGAAATCAATCAACAGACACGTATTCTAGGTTAATGGCAAAACCTGGCATTTGGGGTTTCATAGAGGAGAACCATCGGTAAATATTATACCCAGTTAGGCTAAGTCTATTCTGCAGCTGTCAGTCACACCATTAACTCTAGCAAAGCATTTTACAAATAGAAGAAAATGTACAGCCAGTAAAAGAAAACTTAAGTGGATCACTATATTTTAAATACCTTAAATATTAACTCAATTTTTATATCCTAAACTTAAGAGCACTTTCTACTTTTATTTTAAATAGGTATTGTCTTGTTCTTCACAAGTTCAGTGAAGATTACAGATAAACAAAGGGAGCATTAGAACACCCTTAAACTTTTCCCATTCTTTCCATGTTAACTGCTGTTAACATTTTACAGAGAAAAGGAATTGGACAGGAAGGTGAATTGGACAAAACAGAAGGAAAAGTAGAGAGTCGTATACAGGGTCTGGCAAAAGTAAGGCCTGGTTGAGTGTGGTTGGTGTAGGGTAAGTGAATGTCTCACACAAGATGAACAGCAAATTTGAACGTTTCACCTAAAATGTCATATGTGCTTGAGTGCAATATTGTTATATTACAGAATTATATGCTTATAATTTTGTAATAAAAGATTTTGTAATTAAAAAAGGTGGAGTTATTTGTGCCAGACCCTATAGATAACATATGGTGAATAAGGAGTAAAGAAGCAGTTGTAGAAGAAGAATTTTTGAAGAATTCTCTATATACAAAAATTTAAGAGCAGCTGGTATATGAGGTTTAGGATCTGGAAAGCTCTGGTGGTATATCCTCATTTTAAAGCAAATGATAATCTATAAGACTGATAAGAAAAACAATTAGATTAATGAAATCCTTGGCTCTTGTCACATATTGGGGGTTCCACAGATGTCTAGGTTGAGAAGGGAAGACAGTTCATTTCTTTCTCACATCCTCCTTAGCATACCAGGCAGTCTCTGGAGGTTTCTTTTGCTAATTAGCACTGTCAACTTAAAACCAAAATGCAGTGGGTTTTTTTTTTAAGCAGACTTAGGATTCATCTGCAATCTGGAGCTATAGACCTAAGGCTGTTGTGGCATTTTTTTTTCTTTTTTCCAAAGATTTTATTTATTTATTTTTAAAGAGGGGAGAAGGAGAGGGAGAGAAACATCAGTGTGCCAGAGATACGTTGATAGGTTGCCTCTTGCCCGCCCCTAGCTGGGGACCTAGCCCACAACCCAGGCATGTGCCCTGACTGGGAATCAAACCAGCGACTTTTTGGTTCGCAGGCCAGCACTCAGTCCACTGAGCCACCTCAGCCTACGGTTGTTGTGGCATTTAAATTAACAAATCAGAATTCTTGAATTTTGTGGTCTGAGTTAATTACCTTAATGCTTTAGTTATACCTACTGTCTCATTCCTCTGCATTCCTATTGAGAAATTGGTGGGTTTTTTTCTAAGACCACATTTGACTACTATTTTGACCCTCACATTTACTATCCTAATAACATTGTTTATTTCTCAGACATGAGTGGAAGGATGAAGTTCTTTATTAAAGTCAGAAATCTTGGGAAAATCATGGCTTACCACATTATAGTACTTCTAAGGAGGTTTTAATCAAAATTAAAATGTAAAAATGTCCGAGATGGAAACATACAAACAATTGTAGAGAAGGGAAGCAGCACTGCCTAAATTTAAAATATTAGAATGATGACAGAAGAGATTTTAAGTTTGGTAAAACTTTTTATAAGACTAGTTTCCTTGTGTTCTTGACCAGAGCGATTTTTTCCGGGAGTGGGTTCATAATTCCTTTCTTTTCCAGATTGCAAAAGTTGAGAAGCTCAAACCTTTAGAGGTGGAGCTCCGACGCCTAGAAGACCTTTCCGAATCTATCGTTAATGATTTTGCCTACATGAAGAAGCGGGAGGAGGAGATGCGCGACACTAATGGTGAGGGGGAAGGCAACTCTTGTTTCTCAATAAGTGAACCATAAAGGGATCAGATCCCAAACTTTAAATTCTGGTGTTCCCTTTCTCGGTTTTGCCCAGGGTGGTGGGGATGGGGGAAGGGTGTCTTCAAAGATAATTGCTTATTTGTTGCTGCTACAGGTAAACAAACTTTCTTAGATTTTTTAAGAGAATAGAAATTTCTTTGTGATATACAATTGGTCATGTGCTCAGCTTATGTATCAAATTGATACTAATCTTTGTAGTTTTTAACATTTATATATAGAATAATGAAAATTTAAGAAAAAGCTATCAGAAATTCTACTGTTAGGCCTAGGGACCGAGTGAAGTTAAATTAATTGCCCTTCCTTCCTGGCCGTTGTTTAGCCTGCTGATCCTCACTTCATTACATTTACGCTTTTGTTTTTTTAGAGTCAACAAACACTCGGGTTCTGTACTTCAGCATCTTTTCAATGTTCTGCCTCATTGGACTAGCCACTTGGCAGGTCTTCTACCTTCGTCGCTTCTTCAAGGCCAAGAAGTTGATTGAGTAATAAGGCCTGCTCTCCTCCCACCTTGTATCTCAGCCAGCAGGACATCACTGGGACGTGCCTGGCCTGAGGCATCCTAGCAACAGCACCATCAAGGCACATGGAACTTTCTTGCTGGAACTGATCTCTTGGTGTGGGAGGACATGGGTTACCACCTACACCCAACAAGTCATGGAGGGACTTCTTTTTAACTCGATAGGATTTAGACTGGTGTCGCAACAATAGGACTATTACTAGTCACCTGTGACAAAAAATAGGGGTTACCTAGATAATGCCAAAGCCAGCATTTGTACTGGGTTTCCTCATGCAACCTGGTTGAACCATGTTTTATTTTCTTCTCCCACTTGCTCACTATCTTGGGCTTCCACTCTAGTTCCTTTACCAAGATTTGAATGACCATGTGGAACTTGTTTCATTCTAATTGTCCTTTTTTGGATTTCTTTGGGAAAACACCCATATCTTAACCCTTAGCTGAAATGTTTAGGTAGCCTCTGGTGGTATCCTTTCATAATTTTATGTCTTTTAAAAGTGTAATGGATGTGACATCTCATAGAAATGAGCTTTCAACTCTAGGGAGCTCTTAAAGAAAATTTCATTTTGGAGAATTAAAATGGTTGTGCACAACTGCTTGAATTTTTTTTTGTGTATTTATGTGTATTTAGTTCTCTGCAGTTTTATTACATGTGTAGATTGATGTGGTCACCACTGCAAAATGCACAACAGTTCCATCACACAGGCCCGCGTGCTGCCCTTTTATAGCCGCAGCCACCTCCCTCCCTTATCCCCAAGGCCCAGCCTCTGGCAACCACTAATCTGTTCTCCATCTCTCTTAATTTTGTCATTGCAAGAATGTCATATAAATAATGGAATCATATAGTATGTAATCTTTTGAGATTAACTTTTTTCACTCACCATAATTCCCTCGAAGTCCACCCAACTTGTTGCATGTATCAATAGTTTGTTCTTTTTTATTGCTTGGCAATATATCACACTGTGGCTGTACCACAGTTTGTTTTATCATTCACCCGTTGAAGGACATAGGGGTTATTTTCAGGTTTTGACTGTTAGTAATAAAGCTTCTGTGAATATTCATGTACAGGTTTTTATGTGAACATAAATTTTCATTTCTCTGGGATAAATGCTAAAGAGGACAATTGCTGGACTGTATGGTAAGCACGTGTTTATTATTTTAAGAAACCGCCCTACTCTTTCCGGAGTGAGTGTGCCATTTTATTTATGTTCTCACCAGCAACATATGGCCAATCAGGTGCTCTGGATCCTCTTTGGTATTTGCTGTTATTATTTTTTATTTTAGTCATTCAGATAGATGTATGTAATGAGACTTCGTTACGATTTTTATTTTCATTTTCCTAATGGCTAATGATGTTGAACATCTTTTCATTAGTTTATTTGCCATCTGTGAAATATCTGTTCATGTCCTTTGCCCATTTTCTAATTAGATTCTTTATAATTTTGAGAGTTCCCTTATATATCCTAGATACAAGTCCTTTATCAGATATGTGGTTGCTTAAATTTTTAACATAACATCTACCAAGGAAAAAAATCAGTGAAATTTACCAGGTCTTCTTACATGGCCAGTTACTGACTTAATTTCTGTCCTTACGTGTCCCCCCTGAGACATGAAGTATAAAAAAACACAAACAACTGGGAGGATCAGCATGACTAGAGTAAATACTTGAGAATACATGTTATGAAAGCAAAGGCGCAAGAATCACTATAAGGATATGAGGTGTCTAAAGGCCAATACTAATAAAAATAAGAGAATACAAATGGATACAAATGACCATGTTTATAAACAGTTATGAAAGATACTATCACTTGACATTTTCCCCACTTCTCCCAGGGAAGGAGTTTGTCCTTTTGCAGTCTCTTTTTTAACCCTCCTGACTGCCACGTGGCTTGTGTAATGGCAATGGCAAGAATTACAGGACATGGAGCCATGCAGCTTGCAGTTAAGCGGCATATTGGCATTAACAAGAGAACACCACTGTGATGACCTGGATGAGGTACAAAGGCGGGAGAGGGAGTGAGTTAGGTCATCAAAATGTCAGGCTGTTTGGTTAATATTCCAGCTACTGTGAACCCCAAGGCCTTTTTTTCCTTCTTTTTGACTCCCTGTGTGAACTTCTCTGGTGTGGCATAAAAGTGGTTCTTTATTAAACCTGGACAGCATTGCCATCTGCTGTTAAGAATTGGTAGGTACTACTGAGAACCTGGCAGCTGAATCTGCCATAAAGGCAGCAGATGTTGAGATCTGTGTTATTACATAGACTAAATGACAGAGGATGCATCCAAGTAGGGAGGAGAATGACCAAACCTTTGGTTAAGATCAGTCCTTAGACATTTAAAGGTGTTAAATTAGCCTGTACCATTATCCTGATACGTTAGTCTCACATTTCTGACTGGTGCCTTTTCCCCTTTTAGAAGCAATGAAAGCGGCTTCGTTGTAATACTCTGTTCTGACAAAATGTCAACAAAGAAAACATGAGAATATTTTATTTTGCTGATGATTTTGTTCCCAATGTGACTTTATGAAAGTCACATATGAAAATTCTTTCACATCCTTTCTTTTTATTCATGCCAAAACTACCAGATATTTGTGCTTTTGGGTTAAAGTTCATTGATATTACAACTTGATGTTATCTAAAGAGTAAATTTATTTGCCTTTGATAAAAGGCTTATGCAAGAGCAAATCAGCTTTAAAAATGAGGGCGTTACCTGGTTTCCTGTTTTTGAGCCTATTCAACACAGTCTATATAGTATGGATGAGAATGATGCAACTTAAGCTTTGTTATACCATTGTCGTAACCCCCTGTCAAAAGCCATTTTTCTGCTTGTTTAATGGAAAGGGGCATGTGACATTTATACAGATTCACTTGTGTTGGATGGGGATTTTTGTGTAAATTTTTCTCAAATAAAGGCTAGCAGAAACGGTCTTAGGTGTGTTTTGGTTACTCTTGAGTACCTTTGTGGATTGGCAGTAGTTCCTTCATATTCTTCAGTTTTTATGTATGGCAAATTGTACGTGATGAAGTAAAGAAAAAATACAGTTGTCCATAATTTACTCCAGGTGGATAAAGTTTATGTGAGCTAACAAGTTTATTACATTTTATATGTAAATTATAAATGTATATAAAAATAATTATGCATCTTCAGCAAGACCAAATTAGGGCTCTGCAGGCCAGGCATTCTTCTGTAGCTTCTCTCCTTTGGAAATTGCTATTGGAATTATTCCCGCAGATGGTCTTCTCCCTTGCTCTCCTTTCTTAAAACACCCCTCCCAATGCAGAACCCCTCAGGACTTGCTTTTTTGGTGCATCATATCCATACAAAACCCCACCCCACCAAGTAAAGGCCATTCTCTCCTTTCCTTTCATTTGCAGTTGAACATTTTTCATAAAGCTTCTTTCCAAGAGCACTTGAAGTGCTTTGCCCTCTACTTCCAGCCCCCGGAAAAACAGGTAATTTGTTAGTGAATCTACACAAAGTAGTGGTTCCCAATATTTGAGTATAAATATTTTAACATCAGAAAAGTCCTATTTCTCACTGAAGTTTTAACTTTTAGAGAATACTGATAAATGCAGCAAAACTTTTCTACAGCATCATATACTTGTTAAATGGTAGTACATTTCCCAAATTAGTCTACTCCAGTGGTGTCCCTCAGGACATGAGCCCCATGCATTTTAAATTTGTGGTACCCAATTAAAAAAGTAAAATTAATACATTTAGCTTAATATATCCAAAATAGTATTTTAACATGTAGTCAATATAAAAATGATATATTATTTTTTTCACATAAAGTTTTTGAATTCCAGTATGCATTTTGCAGCTACAGCATATCTTTCAGACTAGCCATAATTTATTTGTTCAGCAGCTGCATGTAGCTAGTGGCTGCCATATTAGACCATGAAGATAAAGATTTTGCTTGGTACTTCGGTAGATCCTTTAATCTTTACAGTAACTCTATAGCCTCTGGGGATCTGCCATTCACAAGTGGTAACTTTTGCTACATAACATCCTGACTATTCACTTGTTAAAATATAACATGGAAATAGCTGTTTTTTGACCAAAGGCATTTTAAAATCAGTTACAGCTTTGGAATGTTGAATATTTCTGGACTTATGAATATTCAAAGGTCAGATACTTAGTTTTATTTATATCCATTATAAAGAACTGAGTATGAGTGTTTCTGTTCTATATTCTCTAAGACGGACAAAAACATTTGTCTGTTAAGCTTTTATCAATGCATTATGAATAGAACAATTCACCATCATCAGGCTAACCAAGTTATAGAAACTAGTTCCTCATTGCAAAGGTGCCAGGAAGAATCCTTAAGCGTTGACCAAAACCTATTCAATTTCTCTGAATGAAAGCCAACACTTCTAATTTTAAGTAATTGTTTTTTTCTATCTTTTAACTCAAGAAAACATTTGTTGGATATCCATTCTGTTTAATATGTTGAGTTAAACTCTGGAGTAGACCCAATAAATGAGAAGCAATACCTATCCTCAAAGTGCCTTCTAATTATTAGGAGGAGCTAATGGAATGGCTTCTATCCAGAACTCCGTTTAGCCATTACTGATTTAACATTGTATATTCCACCAGGAAGTCTTCACTAACCCTGCAAGTTTGTCTTGGAAAGATGCCCTTCCTAAATGTCTTTCTAGAAGTCTATTCTTTCTTTATAGTAGCACTATAGCATACAGTTATCCTTATAATTGCTTCATTATCTGTCTGTTACATGGGCCATGAGCTCCATGAGAGTAGAAACCATGTTTACTTTGTTTTCCTCTTGTTAACCCAGCCTTTGGCACAAGTTGGTACCCAGTGTTTGTCAAATGAATATACTGAAAATTCAAAAGTATCTATCTATACAATATAGAACTCTGGAATGAAACCAACAAAATAAAATTTAATGGGTTATCAGTCTGCATTTTAGGTTTAAAAAGTTGTACACATACAAGATAATAGCGACATGATAATCAACAAGTCATTTCTGAGTCCATAAAATCAAGCACTTTTCAAGACAGTGATGATACATAACTGTGAACAAGAGCACAAAATCCTCTCATGAAGCTTATATTCTAATGAATGGAGACAGCCAATAAAATAAACAAGACATCAATATTTTATAGATAACCATTGTGAAGGAAATAAGGAGTGATGTGATCTGGTGGAAGGGTTGTGTTATTTTAGGTTGGATTGGGTGTGAAAAAGGCTTAGTTAAGTATTGTACAAGCACTGTGTAGGCAGACCACAATTATGAAGGCTGGTACACTAATGGAACAGAAATACTGGATCTAGGTCAAAGGAGACAGACCTTCTACTCTACTATTCACACCTGATGTTATGCAGTGTAGGGTACTTAAAAAGGAATGCTGATGAACTGTAAGGAGGTCCTACGAACGTGAAGGCATTAGCCCTCATACCTCTCACCCCACTCTACCAATTCTCTTCCTCTAATTTGCTATCACTATCCACCTAGTTAAAAAGCTGGAAGTGTCCCCTGGATTCTCACATTTACCTGACTAACCATGTCCCAAATGATCACAAAGTTTAAATTTTCATTGGGTGGATTTCTTCAGTCTGGACCTTCTCTCTACTCACACTGATAGCACTCTTAGTGCCTCTTCTGGTTTGATTCCCGGTCATGAGCCCTGACCGGGAATCAAACCAGAGAGCCTTTTGTTCTCATGTCAGCACTCAATCCACTGAGCCACACCAGCCTGGGCCTCCAAGCTTGTTTTCTAATCTGTAATATGGGGAATATGATCCAGATTAGAGAGTTAACAACATTTGCAGAGTGGTGTGTTCCTAACACGACTTAAGTGTTTTCATGTGTCATCCCACTTAATCCTATTATTCCCATTCCACAGAAGGAACTGAGATACAGAGAGGTTACCTGTAACCTGCTCCGTGTTACATAGCTAGTAAGGGGAGCTGGGAGTTAATAGGACAAAAGCCCCTTTTTCAGGCCCTCTTTGCCTGAGTTAGCTGGATCCCATAAAGCATGACTGACCCTAATTGTTTTATGACTATAAAGTTACTGGAAGTGTCCTGAAGGTGTGGAGGTACGAAACAGGACATACCAGACCACAAGGGACCCTGCACCCAAAGATATCATCGAAACAAGTTGCAGCCTAGTTGAAACATCCTGCTCTACAACCACCCCATTACCTGACGAAAGCCAAAGCCCTGACCCCTCAGGGCCAGTGTGTTTCCCCAAATGTAGCCCTTTCCCTCTCTTGGGAAAGTAGAAACAAAACTTTTGCTTTTTGCACTTCTCTTGAATTCTTTCCCCGCCTGCGTCACCGACCACCCTAACAGGAGTCACACCCAGCCATCTGGCTCCAGACCTCTTTCGTAGAGCAGTATGTGTTGGGGCTAAGAAAGGGTCATGTGGCTGGAGGCCAGGGTGCACGTGGGGTAAAAGAGACAAGGCCTCAAATATAGTTTTATAAAGTTTAGTTTTTCCTGTGGGCAATGGGTAATTATTGGATATTTTTTGAGCAGGGAGTATATGATTAGTGTGACTGTTATGTCCCTATTTGCTGGCTAAGTCCCAATTTACACCTTTCTGCCCTCAGCATAATAGTCTTCCTTTGCTCAAGTGCCCAGCTCATGCAACAATGTGTTCACCTTACATGAGATCAAAGTTATATTTTAAAAAGAACTCTGATGACACAGTGGAAGACAAAGACTGGAGGCAGGGAGACCAGTTAAGAGACAAATTGTATTCTTCTGAAAAGAAAAGAACCCACGTGCCTGGGTTGCAGGCCAGGTCCCCAGCTGGGGACGTGCAAGAGGCAACCACAAATTGATGTTTCTCTCCCTCTCTTTCTCTTTCCCTTTCCCTCTCTAAAAGTAAATAAGTAAAATCTTTAAAAAAAATAAAAAAGCAAGTTTGGAGATGTGAAGTTGCCCAAGGTCATATAACTGATGGAACATGTTTTCCCATGGTATTGCAATTCTCTTATTCACTTAAAGCCAGGGAGAATGTTATTGTAGGTTCCCCACCCCCCAAATACAGTGGCACCTAGCTCTCGAAGAATGTTGCATGGGGTCAAAGATTTGGAAAGACACAAGAACGCCAAATAAGAAAAAAGGGGAGTGTCAGAATTGGCTTAAGATTTTTTTGGAGTTGGGTATAAGCAGTAGGGACTTAGGTGGTTATGGGAGAACCGGGCCCATTAAATCTTCAGAAGACAGGGAACAAATATTTCCGCTTACTACAGTATCTAAACAAAGCGCTGTGCAACGTTGGAAGGGACTGCTTCCCCATTTACTGCCCCTGAGATGAGCCTGGCGCCAAGATGAGACTGGACAAACTCCGGACTTCGAAGCTGTATTGGGACCTAGCCAAGGATCAGGGATTCCCTTGCTGCTGCCGGAGCCCTTCGGTTCCACGTAGTCCCTACCACGCGCCCACACACCCCCGCGAGGCCTTACTTTACCCGCCAAACCGGAGAGAGGCCGGTCGTGGCCTGCGGACTAGAAGCAGTGGGCCAGCTAAAGCGGAGGAACCCCCACCGGGCCGGAAGCACCCGCAACTGCTTCCGGTTCAGGGGGAAGGGGCGACCAAGGAACCTCCCGCGGTTGCTGGGCTGACGGAAACGCGGGCTGGCTTGTGAAGCGGGGGGTACCCAGCGCGGCAAGCGCCACTGGTGACACGCAAGCCGGCCCGGCGGCCGCCGCCATGTCGGTGCTGGGCGAGTACGAGCGACACTGCGATTCCATCAACTCGGACTTTGGGAGCGAGTCCGGGGGTGGCGGGGACTCGGGCCCGGGGCCCAGCGCCAGTCCCGGGCCGCGATCCGGTGGCGGCGCGCCGGAGCAGGAGGAGCTGCACTACATCCCCATCCGCGTCCTGGGCCGCGGCGCCTTCGGGGAGGCCACGCTGTACCGCCGCACCGAGGTAGTGGCCCCTGGCTCCGCAGCCTCCGCCCCTCCTTCGCCGTGCCGCTTTCCCCGCGTCTTGCGCAGGGTCCTCACTTTGCGCTTGGGCGCCCCCGAGGTGTATGTCTCAGGAACCTCTCCACCACTCTTCACAGTCACCTGCACTAGGATTTCGTTAGCTAAATGGTTTTACTAACTGGTCGTTTTTTGTTTATGTTTTTTCTTAACCCGGGGAACAGTGCAAGCCATTGAACCTTCTCTTAGGCTTAGTTTCCCCATCTACAAAATGGGGTTAGTAATCACTACCTTTTGGGCCATCTTGATTTTAATGGTTATTTTGAAAATAAAGCAAAAGTGCTTTGCAAAGTGTAAATTAAAGTAGTATACGAATGTGAGGTGTTGTCAACACTTACTTCCCCCTCGTGCTCTATAGCTCTCCAAGGTCAAGGGGTGGGGAGGATCGGCATTAGCTTCAAAATTCCCGGGTCAGTGGCAGCTCCGATTTTTTTTTTGCTTTTACCTTTAAGTTTAAATGAGAACACTCAATTGGAGATTTTTCTTGAAGATAATGGAGAGATCGTTATGTGTGTTGGTTTCTTCATCAGTGTTTATCTAGCAGCGTTTATGCCTGGGGAATGCATTTTTGGTATATTTTAAGCCATTAATTTTTTAAAAAATTTTAATCCGAGGACATGCTTATTGATTTTAGAGAAAGGGGAAAGGAGGGAGAAAGAGAGGAAGGGAAACATGGATACCCATGGGCCACCTTCCACACTCACCGTGACCGGGGACTGAACCCTCAACCTAGGCATGTACCCGCAACTGGGAAACAATCTGCAACCTTTCGGTTTAGGCATGGATGCTCCAGCCAACTGAGGCACACTGACCAAGGCCTAAGCCATTAATTCTTAACTTGAAGGGCACAAGGAGTCCTTTGCAAATCTAATGTAAACATAATCGCCTCATCTATATTTGCATATATACATATTCTTTGAAGAGATTCATGGATCACTCATCCCTAAGTTCACAAAGTATATTAATCTAAAATTCTGTAGTGATGACTCTACTTCCAAAAACTAAACATAAACTGATTTTGATCACTAAAGCCTTAAAACTTAAGCTTTAGAGTAGTTAAGTTTTGAATGAGAACTTGTTGGAGCTACTGAAGGTGATTTTGTCTATCAGTGATCCATCTGGAATTGTGTGTCCCAAGCTAACATAGTTTTAAGGCTGAAAGATGGAGGAGAGAGGTGGTTGTGAGAGAATACCTTTGTTCAATTTTTATAATTTAAATTTTTTTAAAATTGATTTTAGAGAGAGAGAGAGAGAGAGACATTGATTTGTTTTTCCACTTATTTATGCATTCATTGGTCGATTCTTGTATGTGCCCTGACTGGGGAATCAAACCCACAACCTTGTGTATCTGGGGGACACTGGAACCAACTGAGCCAGGGTCTAAGTCTTCTTTTCTTATCCTAATGCCACATTAATGAAGGATGTTAGAGTTATTGTTAGTATTCTGTTTTCTTATGTGTACTCACAATACGAGAAAGAGGAGCATTAGTGTTCCTATTTTATAGGTAAAGATACTAAAGCAGTACATTTAGGTGACTTGTTCACTTAAATTAGAAGTAAATCTTTGACTAGAACAAAGTTTCACACCTCCTTGCTCATGCTTTTCCATTATTATCACGTTCAACTTCATTACTGAGGTTGTTTTAAGTTAAGTTTGATCATAACTTCTCAAAAAATGTGTAACATTATCCATGTCACCAAGTATTTATTAGAGCTGTGAATTTACGAAGTTTAATTAGAAGCAGCCCTTTCCCTCAAGAAGTGTATATTTCAATGGGAAGACAAATTAATAAACAAATAGCATTTAAGTTGTATGTGTATATAAAAGAAAATTTTATTTCAGTGCATGACCTGAAAATTAGAAGAATGGTTGCATTGAATAAATGTACAGCAAAAAGTTCATCAGGACCTTCCCAAAAAAGTTTTAAGGCCTAGCGGAGCCATTCTAAAGGAAGGGAGGGTTATTTAGATGGGGGTGTCCCCGGGCTGGGAAGCAGTGTCAGGGAAGAATTAGAGACATTATAAAAGAGAGTAGATATTGGGAGCTGCAGTTAAGTTTTCATGAACAGAGGAAAATATGATACATAAAAATGATAGGAGAAAGGGTTGCAGAATGGGCAGCACAAGTTCAGTGAACTCAAAGCCCTTAGATATGACTTTTTCTTATTCAGAAAGGGTAAACAAAAATCACTAGAGAAATCTAAGTTTATAAAATTAAAAGCAAGTTTAAGATTTCTGTTTTGCAAGAAACTGTGGTCACCTGTAGGTAACTACTCTCCAGTTCTCAATTTCTCCAATATTCTAGCCCTACTACAGTTCTCATCATGACTAACAGTCTGTCACAATGTCCCTCAACCGAATTTTTGAACTCTACTTCCATATCATATTTTTACCTAGAATTGATCTTATGCAAATTAAGTGTGGGAGCAATGTAACAGCATCTTAATGTCCTGCAGTAAATTATGCGCAATTGTATGCCAAACCTTTGAGGTCTGTTCATGTTTTGTTTAAAGGAAAAAATAAAGTCAGTCTCTCGCCATCTAGGAAGTTTTCTTTCTAGGTTTACAGATCCATGTGTGGATTCATTCGCTGCCAAGCAAGAGGAAAGCACTATACCTCTGTTACTGTGTTGTAGGATGACTCATTGGTCGTGTGGAAGGAAGTTGATTTGACCCGACTGTCGGAGAAGGAACGTCGGGATGCCTTGAATGAGATTGTTATTCTGGCACTGCTGCAGCATGACAACATTATTGCCTACTACAACCACTTCATGGACGACACCACCCTGCTTATTGAGCTGGAGTATTGTAATGGTGAGGTAGAATTCTGCGGGGCTTCCTCGAGAAAGAAAGCCTTGTACTCATGCTTACCTTGAAGGGGAGGGGGAAGGAAAAAGACTTACAGTGATAAAAACTTTAAGTTAATTTCTTGAGTTTCGAAGATGAGTTCAGGCCCTAGAGAATTTTGAAGTAATGTACAAAATACATTAAAAGGGAGGGATTTTCCCCCGCATACTCAAATACTGCCTTGTGATTATAGTTCTGTCTTCAAATTGCTTGTTCAGTTGGATTTTACATTCATTTCTCAAGGTTTTCCTCATGGAATGACATGAGTTAGGCATTACAGAACACATAGCGTGGCTTGATAAAATATTTAATGAAATCTTATAGGTGATAATGATTTAAATTGACTTCACCAAAAGCTGTTCTATTAAAAAGTGGTCCAAAGATCTAACTGAATTTAGAAAATGGTCTTATTTATCTGGTCTCTGATATCTTTGGACCATTTTACTTGTAGGATAGCAATATGGTCTAGTTGTTAAGAAAATTGACTCTGAACCCACATTCCAAGCTACATGACTTTTTAGCTCTGTAACCCTGCACAAGAAACTTAACTTTACTGTGACTCAGCTTCCTTATTTAAATATGAGTTTTTTTTGTAACTTACCTCTTAAGGTTATTGTATTAAATGACTGTGAAACCCCTAGCATTGTACTTGGTATATAGCAGATGTTTGATACATGCTGTACTAGCTACTATCCTTCTTATTACATAAGGGAACCTCCAAATTCCTTTCTTGAGCTGCATGCTAAAATGGTCCCAGCACATTCTTCACTTAAATCTGTAAAAGAAAGCTGCTAGATTCTAACTTTCTTGTTTAGACTCCTGTGTGTCATGATTGTTCCTGGTGCTGATCAGCCCTGAATGTAGAAGATTAGAGATTTCTGAAGTAGCAGAAGCCTCATGTAGTTAACTTCCTTTGTGGTCAGGAGAATGTAGAACAAATAGTACATTTATTGAAACTTCAAGTCAGTACATGACAGGGGGGGGGGAGTTGTGAAAGCTAGCTGGGGCTGAAGTGTCAGTTATAGTTGCAGGTGGGAAATAAAATGGCCTATGATCATTTGTAGCCGATATTACTTGAAAAAGGAAAGGGAGAAACAAATTCAAACTTACTCTGCAGGATGAATTAGTAAAGGGATGATTGGAAACAGCCTCGGGCAGTGGTTTTCAGCCATTCTCATCTCGTGGTGCACACCAGCTGCTGTATTTTGCCATGTTTAATGTGTCCTCACGTTTTAGGCCCAAACTTTCAGGGAAAAGAAAAAACTTTCGTTTTAATTCAATTATTTATTTATACTTAGAAACAAAACCGATTATTATATGCCAGGGTATTTTGCATACAGATATCATTATTGCTTTCTAGAATTACACGTTTAACACATAAGCATAATTAAAAGAATTTAAAAGATTTATTGCACATCCTTTCTTTCCCTTAAAAATTTGGGCAAAAAAGGGCACATTTTACACAGCAAAATATGGTAATTACTAAAATTCTGCAGCACATCAGAAAATACATTTTTGGCCAATCTGACACAAAAGAAATTTTGTATAATTTTAATTCATTTACACCAAACAGCTGTTGCTGTGTTAGCTGTTGTCATTTTTTCTAATTCGACAGTCTAAGGGAAAAGAGGTCAGTGCCTCTGACTAAATAAGTAGTCAAGTATTACATGTTTTAAAAATTCTTGCAGCACACCAGTGTGCCTCGGTACACCAGTTGTAAATCGCTAAACTTTAGGAAACTTCTTCAGTGGAAAGAGAAATTGATATACACCCGAATATACAAAACACTTTATCGCTGGTGTGACCCAAATGTTCTAGTAGTCACACTGAGAATTCTTGCAAAAACGTTACAGATTCTTTTAAAAGGAGTTCTAGAAAAGAAAATCACCTGATTTGTAAGATATTTAAGGTAATTTCACTAATAGGGGTACTATAGGAATGGTCTTTACTCTCTCATCTTTTCAACAATGTCTTCTGTTTTTGTATTGAGACTCTTCCATTAGGGAGAGGACTCTTTGAAGACTATTTTTTTTCCTGTTTTTATTTTTCTTTTATTAAATTTAAAAAAATTTTTTTATTGTTCAAATACATTAGTCTCCATGAAGAATATTTTTGATATAGCCCTTGAGAGGTGAGAAGAGTTTTGTAACCAGTGAGAGCCAAGAGGGAAGAAGGGGTTTCCTTTGGATAGGAAACAGAATCCCTTCATTTCCTTGTGTTACCTGTTAAAACCCTGGAGCTAAGCTTTGATCTCTATTAAGCATTTCAAACCTATCTCTTTTTAATTGCAGGAGGGAACCTGTATGACAAAATCCTTCGTCAGAAGGACAAGTTGTTTGAGGAAGAGGTAATTCATATTTCTATGGTAGGAAGCTAGAGTTGTAATGTGTTGCTTTCTAGTTCTGTATTAACTCTTCCAACAATGAAGAGTATTTCTTTTCCTTTTGTTCAGACTCCTTCCAGACTCTGGTTGATATTCATGGGAAAGGAAACCTCTAACAAGGAAGCTGTCTATAGCTGCTTCCTAAACGGTTTACCTCCACATCATGATTCTCTATGGGCTTTCTTTCCCGGTTCTGTTACTGCATACTGGTATGCCCAGTTTTCTATACCTTTGCATTCTTCCTGGATTTCTTTCCACAAGTCTGCTTCACCATACTATATTTTATAATGACCTTGGTCCTAGTTTATGGTGACCTGTTTTTCGTTTGTTTGTTTTTCACCCCTGTCACTTTTCTTTGCTTATTCAACCTGCAAGAAAGAGATGTCAAGTCATGTTGAATCATAACCTCTGGTTGCAGCTTCCTTTGTTTTATTTGTTTTGAGAGAGAGAGAGAATTTAAATTGAATTTTTGTTTGTTTTCAGTCCAAATATAATTTATGTTTTCTCTGTAGATGGTGGTGTGGTACCTGTTTCAGATTGTTTCAGCAGTGAGCTGTATCCATAAAGCCGGGATCCTGCATAGGTAACGAGTGGAAGAATGTGGGATTGATTCTTCCCCACCAGTCCGGCCCCACCTTGGGGGCCTCCTCCCGTCATTCCTGTCATTCCCTTGATGAAGCAGTCAGGGCTTTTACATCGATATGTTGTAGAAGGGAAGGAGTGAATAACGAGAGGCGTTATCTTTTCTTCCTGAAGTTAAACCATGTTTGTGATCAACAGCTAAGTATTGCTCAGTCATTTCTTTAAGAGATATTTTTAGAGTTCATTTCATTAATTCATCAGTAAAACCTAGAAGCCACTATGTGAAGTGGTATTTGATTGCTTGGAATTCACAATAAATATTTTCTCTGAGCAATACTCATTGGCAATTATTTTTAATTATAGAATTCTTTTAATTTGAATAAAAATCCTATTAGTATAATTAATTGTACAGTTTTACTAGATCTTTGGGTGTGGAATGAATAGAACAGTTTTCATTTCAAGCTATAGAAGAGAACCACTATGAACATTTCCGCCTCATTATATCCTTCTGGAGTCATTGACCATTGCTAGAGATTAGTGTCAATGCACCAGTATTTCTTTTTTTGTTGGCTTATTAATTATCAATGTATATTTCTTGATAACTATTGAATGGCTATTATTGCATACTACTTTCTTTTCAAAAGTTACAGAGAATATTATTCTTATTTTTTTACACCTTTTAGGAAAGAAAGCTAGATTATAAACCAGGCACAGTTTATTTGTTTTACATATGGTCAATTCATCTTTAGAAAAATAGCCAGTGATTTTCTTTGGGTGCTCTGCACAACCTAATTACGCTGCTGTTGGGACAAGCAGCTGCTTCTCTTGCCTTAACAGGTTTGAAATTTTGACACCAACCAAGTGTAAAAATTGCCTTGCTATCTCTTTGTTCAGTGTGTAAGTGGTAATTGAAGAGGTAGTGTACCTTATAGGAATTAGAATAACCTGAGGCACCGCTTTTTGTCTGACCCTCTCAGCTTTTCCTCTGCACTTAAGTGGTATGGGAGGCAAGCCAGTGCCGTGAAGCCCTGGAGGGTGAAGTTAGTTTTCTGCCTCCACTTCCCCATGTCCCTTTTCAGTGTTAAAGTATGTGTGAAAGTGATGACCTCTATTTGGGTCCATAACTGTCTGAGCAGTGGTGACGCACTCGTTTTTATTCTGTACTAATGCTGTGTGCAGTGGGGGATGAGATAAAACAATGGACTATATAGCCTTACTCTGCAGCATCTCTTTTTTTTTCCAGAGATATAAAGACATTAAATATTTTTCTGACCAAGGCAAACCTGATAAAACTTGGAGATTATGGCCTAGCAAAGAAACTTAATTCTGAATATTCCATGGCTGAGACAGTAAGTATGTGTTGCCTTTGTCTTATTTGTTTTCCTTTTCCTTTCCAGCATCATGAGATATAACTATATTCCCTAAATCATACCCCCGAAATCTTGCCCCCTTTTCTCAATATTCGCGTAGGCTTTCTGTGCTTATAAAGCAAATCTTCAAGAGCCTTTTTCCTGGGCTTACTAACAGGCGTTTACATACTCAGATATTCTTTCGAGAGTCCTTGTCCACATTACAGCTCTGACCTCGAAGCCCTTTCTGACACGTCCTAGGGATTTCTAAAAGCAACAGAATGCTTTGTCATTTTTCTAGTAGATTTCACTTTATCTTTTATTTAATATTTGAGCTTATGATGTTAGACATTTTTCTTTTTTGTTTCCTTTGTATTTTTCTGGTTCAGAAGCTGTATATTACAGATAAAGGCTGATGCCCAGAGAATAGTTTGATTTTGCACATTATTCACAGTCTGAACTGCCGGGCTCCCTTCTCACCTGATCCTAAGAAAGACCATTAGTTAAAAGAGTAGACATCAGTTGACCCTTAAGGAAAGTGACCTCATCCTTTTAGGGATTATAAAACCCAACTATTACTTTTCTGGTTTCATAATGCTCTGTCCTTAAAAGGTCTTGAAAATTTAAGTTTGTTCTGATGATGTTTTTTGGTCATGTCGAAATATGCCTACAAGCAATATTGAGACATCCAAGGATGCTGATAGCCAGGGTTGGAATTCTCTGCCTCAAGAACTCCGTCTTTGTATGGTGGTGCCATATTGAGCTTCTGAGGAAGCAGGCACGTCTCACATGGATTTTTCTCATCAGGAATAATCTGATAAAACCAAGATTTGACTTTTGTTAGCCAGTTAAATGCAAAGAAGGAATGATGTGAAAATTTATAAATGCCATGTAAGCCATCTGAAAATTTCTTTGTTTTGCTGATTAAAGATGGCTCTCAGTTTTATTAGAATTCCTGGAGCACTCAGTGTTTCTCATCTTGGGAAAGATAGGACCTTCATTCAGGACATTTTTATTTCTGAATTTCTTGAATTCAAGAAATCTTTTTAAAATTTGAAAGAAATTCACTAGCTATGTTAGTATTGCAGAACATTTAACCCCTTTATTCAGTTACCTTCTCTCCACTGCCAGTTGTTTTGTTTTTTGTTTTGTTTTTCCCCTTGGTGAACTTTGACTAAATATGCCTCGATCTGTATGAAGTCTTCAGTGGGCCTTGAATACCTGCAGCCTCTGCGATCCATGAGTCACAGAGCTGTTGTGGCTCCCACACTGACCACAGTGCCGTTACCCCAGAGGTTGTTACTTGATAATTGGCCCAAGAGATTTGATATGAATAAGATTTCTTCCCATGGTGACATCATCTCATAAAAACCATTATGGGATATATACTAATGGATGTTTTATGATTGTTATCACTAGTTCCTGGGAAATTTAATTTAGTTGTCAAAATATTAATATGGTTACCTCAGAAAAGAAGTTATTGTTTGATTGTTTTCTTTGTTGTTCAGCTTGTTGGAACTCCATATTACATGTCTCCAGAGCTCTGCCAAGGAGTAAAATACAATTTCAAGTCCGACATCTGGGCAGTAGGCTGCGTCATTTTTGAACTGCTTACGCTGAAGAGAACATTTGATGCTACAGTAAGTGGATGTGTTATCCCCACATTGTCCTTACAAATAGTACAACTTGTTTGAAGTAATAAACTTCATTTATCCCTGAACTTCTGATTCCTTGAACAGAAGTTAGCTGTAGGCAAAAATAACAACCAACATCCTGGCATTGGCTTAGTAGTATATTATTGGAATACAAGAGACCAGATTTATGTCCAACTTGAATCCCTCATTGAATAATCATAATCACGTGCAGTAGTTAGACTAATGTGCTTGAATTTGTTAACTGTAATTTTAAAACTGGCCCTAGGATCTGCTATGGGATACTATGGATTAGACAAGCCATTTCATTTCTTATGCTTCAAATATGTGAGAGTGTGTGTGTGTGTGTGTGTGTATTTTAAGCTAAGGCAAATTACATAATATTTATTAAAGTGTTTAGATCTTTTTTATAAAAACTACTCATCAACCCTTTATAAAGATTATTATTGTTTTATGGATAACAAATTCCTTTGAGTGTTTTTTCTTCTTTAAGTGAAGTCCAGTGTAAAGCAGTGCTACTCAAATGTTACACACAGGAATTCACCTGGGCATGTTGTTAAAATAGAGGCTCTGTTTGAGTAAGTCTGGGGCAGGACTGATAGCTTTCCGATAATGCTGATGCTAATTGTCTGTGGGCCACAATTTGAGTAACAAAAGTGAGTTCATATCCAACCTCCTTTACAAACCAGATGTGAGAACTTAGGTAAATCACTTCATCTCTTTGATCCTCTATTTTATTATCTGTAACATATATATATATGTATATATATTCCTCTCATAGAGATGTTCTGATAATGCATATGAAAAATGCAAATGTAAGAATACAAATTCATTGGCCTTTCATGAGACATGTTTATTTTTTTAAATTCTGAAGTTTAGTATGTTGTCTAATTCTCCTAAATATTATAGTGGAAGGAAAATGAGTTTTGGAGTCAGATAGACTTTGGTTGGAATTATGGCTCCATTTTTTTACTATTTGTAGTCTTGGGAAAGTTAAATCTCTGAATTGGTAATGATGATAACCTCCTTGTGTGGCGTTTGCAATGGTTAAAAAAGATCAAATACGTATACCTGCCTAATACCTACTGGTCTCTCTGTAAAGGTGGTGATGGTACTATTATAATAATATTATCATTATCAGCTCCTACTTCTTATTTACTGTTTTGCCTGTTGGAGCATAATATCACCTGTATAACTATTATTAGGATATATAAATTAGGAGGCAAGTTAATTAGCAAAGGAAGTACTTAAAGCCAAGAAGCATAGCTGACCTTCCTTTCCTTTTGGGGGGGATTCAGTTGAAGGGTCAAATTATAGTATACTCTAAGTATAATGCAATTGGTCACATAGTGATATCTCCACCTTGGCCAGTTGGCTTCATTCCATCTGATAGCAGCGTTACATCCCTAACAGTTTGTTGTTGATGCATGCACATAGTTATAAAGAGACATCAGACCTACTGCAGAACTATTGCCACTTCTTTAAATAATAGTCATAACATCTCAGAGCCCCTATTGGAATATTATAAAGTCTTTATAAAACCAAGAACAGTGCCATCATCATTTTGTTACAGAATCCACTCAACTTGTGTGTGAAGATTGTACAAGGAATCCGGGCCATGGAAGTTGATTCTAGTCAGTACTCTCTCGAATTGATCCAAATGGTCCATGAATGCCTTGACCAGGTAAGTGTGACTTAAAAATTGATTTCAATTAGTGATTTCTCTTTTAGACTTAGTGTTTGGGGTGTGAAATAGAAGATCCTGCACAAAACCACATCCACTTCCCCAGATAGGGTGTATTTGCAAGGCATTGGTAAGTAATGATAGCTGTGTGATTCAGCCAACAAATTCTTACTTTATTCTGCTTTGTTCTTTATTAACTTATGAAATTGTGCTCCATTTTTTATGATCAAGATGTTTGTAACTTGATTTCATAAAAGTATAGTCGGAGGTAATTTAGAGTTGTTAAAGTACAGAATGTATATTGTTCTAATATCTCACAGTTTGCTTTGCAGTGTAACTCTGGGTCATTATTATTCAAAATATGGTCCGTGAACCACAGGCATGGGGTGGTTTACAAGCAAAATATGAAGATTCCTGGGCCCCATCCCAGGCCAACGGGAGCAGAATCTCTGTGGATAAAGCTCAGAAATCTTTATTTGTAGCAGGCACTCCACAAGATTCTTATGTTCTATATATATTGGAATTTGAGAGCCACTGTGCAAGTGAAGAAGAAGTAAAAATGCCTCTTTAGATCCCATTTTGCCCATTCCCTTTCAAATAAAACTAGCCCCATTTGTACTTTTTAGGATCCTGAGCAGAGACCCACTGCAGATGAACTACTAGATCGCCCCCTTCTCAGGAAAGGCAGGAGGTAAAGTACAGAAAAGTCACTCTGTTGTTTCCGTAGGTGGTTGACTGATAGAGGTCTGAGCAGAGTACCACAAAGAGGGTGGTGTTTCCTGACTTGGCCGCTCTGGTTCTATTTTCAACCAACATCTCTGCTTTCATTGTTTGAGAGTAGCTCCTGACTTTTGCCTCCTTAGCCTGTGCTATTTTGTTCTAAATTTATATTGATATGACTAGAGTTGGGGCATTAGAGTTTAGTAATTAAGAGAGGCCATCTTTAGGTTTGAATCTGAGTTCTGTCATTGTGTTTGTCGAGTTATTTAATATCTCTGTTCCTTAGTTTTCTCCTCTGTAAAGTGAGAAAGGATGAACACTAAAGGAGGGCCTGGCACGAAGGAGCCCAGTCGTTGTTGGAGAGTCATGTGGATTTTCTTTTCTTTTTTTAAGTGCATTCCTTTAGTGTTCGGTGAGGGATAGAGAGGTCCTCTTTATGTACCATTTCCCAAAGTCAAGCTTAATTGATTCCTGACAGGTTGTTTCCTGAGATTTATTCTGTTAGGAGGCTCTAGAGGTAGGAAGGAGGTCCTTTATCCCTCACTTTCTACAGGAGGCTTCAATCCCTAACATAGAGGAAAAGGTGTTCTTTATCCTCTTAAATGTTCTAGTCTGTATTTCATCCTATTATACTATTTTTGTTTTACAACCCTCCTTCCTTCCATACCAATTCTTTGTTTCTGTATCTTCCTAATATTCAAACATTTGCTATGCTCTTTTTTAAGCCTTGCCCTTTAGATACATTAAATATACACCTAATTCCACAATCTTTTCTGTTTGGTCAGTAACTTTTATTCTGTTGTGTCATTTAATTAATCTTTTCCTGATTCTTTTCCAAAACAGTGTTTTAGTGCCTAGAATTAATTATGTATGATATCCCAGATACAGCAGTGTGACCCTACATTTATGTTCTATGTATGTTCAGGCAGTATCACCCTTTAGAGCTGCTTAAGTATATTTAAAATTTTTATCTGACTTTTAAGTATAATTACTATTGTAATCTCTTCTTTAAATATTTCCACTATTAACTTTTAATTGCAATTTTTATTGATATAATTGTAGATTTACATGCATAGAATTTCATACTTTGATGGAAAGATGTGACATGAAGAGCTTTGCAGACAAGGCACATACACAGGAAGTTGCGGGAAATGCTCAGGAAACACTAAGTCCTGTTTGGCTAGATTAGTGGTTCCAGTCACAGGGCTCTCAAGAACAGTGCTTCAGAAGCTTTCAAAAAGTAGTGATGCTTAAACTCCACCCCAGGAATTCAGCTATAAATGATTTAAGCAGAATGAGAACCCTGAGCTAAAACATGGGCAGTAAATAGAGGGAAGGAAGTCTGGAAAGACAGGTAGAGAATTTTGAGTGCCAAAGGAATTTGTGCTTTATTCAAGATATATAGTGCATGAGTATTGGATGTTGATGAGAGGCATACCTAAGAGTTATGTAGCAGTACTAACATTGGTGTTATATTGGTATAGGACTGGGTAAAGTGGATTGGAGCTATGGTGAGACCAATTAGGTGGGAAGCAAAGATGCCCAGCACTAAGTTGGTAAGACTGGAAAGGAGAGGTGACTATATAGGGCATTGTATAGGTAGAACCTGTAGAACTTGTTGACTGGGAGAATGGGGGCGGGGGGGAGGGGAGTGGCAGTTATAGAAATAGAATCAGAAAGAAACACTGTGTGGGAGAAAGATAATGAGCGCACATTTAGAGATGCTGAGTTTGGGGAGTCAGTGCGCAGACTAGATGGAGATGTTGGCAGGCACTTAAAAATCTGTGTCAGAGGTCTCAAGGCTCTCTGTTTCAGCCTGGAATATTCTCAGAAGTAGAAAACAAATGGTCCCAAACTGCTAGCTGCTTTATATTTAAAGAATTGCGTATAGGCAGGCCTATATGACTGTTTGGGTTTAATCAAGGTACTTTCCAAAAATTACTATAGAGGATTTGATCTGTAACATGTATTAAAGAGACACTGTGCAATATAGGGTCCAGTTTTTGCTCATCTATCTTTGCTTTTCTCTTGGTAGAGAGATGGAGGAAAAAGTCACACTGCTTAATGCACCTACAAAGAGACCAAGGTAAATGTTCAGGAGACTCTCGAAAAGTAATATATCTTAAATTACCACCAGGGGGGGTCTTTGGTGGGTCTGTGCATTGTTTCATCCTAGTAATTAGCGTTTGGCCTCCTTTCAGAAGCTAACATCTGCTTAAATGTCAGACAGTCATTTATGAAAAAAAAAGAATTCTCAGCCCTGGCTGGTGTGGCTCAGTGGATTTAGTGCCAGACTATGAACCAAAGAGTCACTGGTTCGATTCCCAGTCAGGGCACATACCTGGGTTGCAGGCCAGGTCCCCAGTTGGGGGCACATGAGAGGCAACCACACATTAATGTTTCTCTTCCTCTCTTTCTCTGTCCCTTCCCCTCTCTCTAAAAATAAATAAATAAAATCCTTAAAAAAAAAAAAAGAACGCTATAATTTCACCCTCTAGCTAAAGTGGACATCATTACCATGATGAATGTTGAAAAGTTGAAAAGTGTAGGTGTCACGGATCAGACTGAAATCTGAGCTGGCCGAGCTGCGGTGAAGCCCTGAGGCAGGAATTGTGAAGCCTGCAGCGGTAGAGGCTGACATAGGTTGTTGAGAAAGAACATACTTTCTCATACCATAATTGGCAGTTCTTTGCAGGGAACAGACTGGGAGCATTTTTCTGTGATACAGTTTTTATGTTAAATGTGCCTTTCTTTGTTTTGGGGGTTGTTGGCAGGTCAAGCACTGTGACTGAAGCACCCATTGCTGTGGTAACATCGCGAACCAGTGAAGTTTATGTTTGGGGTGGCGGAAAATCCACTCCCCAGAAACTGGATGTCATCAAGAGTGGCTGTAGTGCGCGGCAGGTGTGTGCAGGGAAGACCCACTTTGCAGTGGTCACAGTGGAGAAGGAACTGTACACCTGGGTGGTAAGTGAAAGCTAAGTGCTGTAGAACAGTGATGTAAGCATAATGGTTTACTGGACCCAGGAGGTCTAAGTATTTTTTAGCTGAACATGTGCTGCTGCAGTAGCAGCATGGGGTGATGGAATATAAGCTTGAGAGCAATGATTTTGTCTTTAGAATTCACTGACGTATGCCTAAAGCTTAGAATGTATTAGGTCTCTTGTAAATGTTATTTGAATGAATGAGTGAGAGATGAAAAGAATTAAAAGAGGCCTAGATTTGGACTTTGGAGACTGGACTCTCATTTATAGCTGGGTGATTTCAGAAAGTGCTTAATTACTCTGTTCTATTAGCATGAGGTTCAGAACAACTGGTATCTATGATGTAGCTTTGTAAACAGATGAAGCAGTGGACTATGTCAGGGAAATTCCAAAGCCTCCACCAGTAACTGAGGATAGCTAGGTGTAACTTGAGTAGGATTTTCCTTTGTTTCCCTCTAGATTCCACCCTGTCTCTCACTTTCATGAACAGGTCACCAGTATTGCTATTTCTTATATCTCCCACTCATTCCTCATTCACCTACAGTGCAACTTTCATCTTTGTCCTTTGATTGAAACAACTCTTGACAAAATGACGTATAAATTGTGAAAATAAAACCAGTACTTTTTACAAGCAGGTCCTTATTTTGCGTCATCTCCCAGCAGCATTGGACACAGTGACCACTCCCCTTCTTGAAGCTCTGCCTTCCTTTGGCTCCCAGGAGAGCGTGCTCCCTGGACTCTCCTCCTGTTTCTTCACTTGTGCCTTCTCTGGCTCGTTTTAGGCTGCTTTTCCTTCACCTGGTCTTATCTTAGGCCTATGGTTCTCACTCTTCCTTTTCTTCCTGAGGGAGCTCACTCTGCCAGTAATTTCCAATAACTTCTCCATGAGGACAGGCTTTATCCCCAGTGTGTGACAGACTCGAGAATCTCAACTATTGATTGATTGAAAGGATGAATGTATGATATGGCCTCTATTGTCGAGTATTAACTTGGTATTTCCTAAAACACTATCCCTTAAAGAACTAGCTCCTGGGTGTGCTGCCAGAAGTAGCATGGAATAGCACCTTAAAAAACATTTGTGTAAGGACTTAGAGTTGAATTAAGCAATGAAAACTATTATCTCTATAAAAATGTTGAAAAGTTGTTTAGGACTATTCTCAGTGCTATATAGCAGCCTTTTTGATGTAGCCAGATTCTTTATAACTGCTCTGTGTTTCAGGGAAACTGTTACCAAAATGTATAATACTTCTAGTAAGGATTTTCAAGAGGATGTACTCTTGTAGAAAATAAATTAGACTAGATGAAAGAGTTTTTTTCACCATCACCCTTAAATAAATACATAGTTTACCTTAGACTTGAAAGAAAAAGATAAAATTGGAACTGTGTCCCTTCAAAGCCTGATGGATATCAGTCTGGATACTTTTTAAATCCGTACCTGCTGGCAGGGATTTTTATACTAACTACTATTAAAAGGTTCAATTTCCTTACCTTTTTTCTTTTTTTTTTTCCATTTCTACATTTCCAGCTGATTTTTTTCCTACTGTTTTTCTTAATAAGAAGTTATATTGAAGATTAGCTTTTGGCATGAAAAATTAAAACTTCACAAGACCTCTTTATTTCACAGAACATGCAAGGGGGCACCAAACTCCATGGTCAGCTGGGCCATGGAGACAAAGCCTCTTACCGACAGCCAAAGCATGTGGAAAAGTTGCAGGGCAAAGCTATTCGTCAGGTGTCATGCGGTGATGATTTCACTGTCTGTGTGACAGGTAAGCCATCAGCAAAAAGCATCCAGGTATATTTAATGTGGAATATCATACTTAATACTGTGCAGTTTTAGTTGGGATTTTATAACAAAAGATAGTATTCAAAGAACAAAAGACAATGAGCAAATATACACATTAATGACGAGCCCAATTTGTTATACTATTATGGGGAGTGATGAGCAGGTAGAAGGCAAATGGATGACAGAGAAGAGGTGGGATGTGGTATGTCCCAGGTACGGCGAAAAATAACCTCACCACCTGGTCAGGTGAGGATAACACTAAATCATGAATCAAGAACTGAAATTTAGTTTTGGTCTTGCCAGTACTCATTTTATGATTCCTTAGTCCTTCCCTTTTTCTCTATAAAATAGAGATGGCCCCAGTAAAATTATAAGCCTTTTAACTTGATTATACTACCACCTTTTAAAACTGTTATTGTAACAGTACACGTAACCCCCTACATAAAAATAACTCTAGACTTACATAGTCTATTCTTTGGATTTCTCTGATATAATCATCTCATGTGAGATTGTTGGCTGGGGTAGTCCTCATTACAGCCCTGATTAAACAAAATAAATCATTCCTTTGCTGGGTTCTGCTTTCCTTCCTTTTGCAGATGAGGGTCAGCTCTATGCTTTTGGATCTGATTATTATGGCTGCATGGGGGTGGACAAGGCTGCTGGCCCCGAAGTGCTAGAACCCATGCAGCTGAGCTTCTTCATGAACAATCCAGTGGAGCAGGTCTCCTGTGGAGATAATCATGTGGTGGTTTTGACACGAAACAAAGAAGTCTATTCTTGGGGCTGTGGTGAATATGGTAGGTGTAGCCTTGTCTCTGTCCACTTATTCCCAGGCACACAACCTGCCTTCTGGCTTATGTGCATCTAAACACATGATGTAGCCTCTACCTGAGAAGTGTTAATTCAGTAAAGGGGAATCTTATGGAACATTTCCACTAGGAAGGAGGCCCTCATGTTAATGATTTTATTTCTTATGTGTGTCTCAGGACGACTGGGTTTGGATTCAGAAGAGGATTATTATACACCACAAAAGGTAAAATCAGAAACAGCTTCCTCCTAAAGCCTATCTAGGTCACACAGACTCCAGCAATATGTCCTCTTTCCCTGACTCCTCATATCAAGATGCTTATTTCTGAAATATTTCCTATCTGGAATACTGACAATCCAGGATTCCTGATTTAGCACTATGTGGTCTTGTCATCTGACTAAATTATAAAAAGTTAAGAAAGAGGATATAGCTGCTATGGACACTCTGCAGTGACATCTCACTCGGGAATGAGAGCTAAAATTAGCTTCTGCAGTGAAAAAGTCACATCGAGCTAAATGCACCCTGGAAAATTCCTTGGAAAGGTACTGGAAAACAACATACTGTCTCTTACTCCAACACAGCCATTTTTGCCTCCTGCTGCCACAGTTGAACACCAGGTGAAATCGTTTGTATTTAGGGTCATTTTGCGTGAAACAGTATCTGATTACTCTCATCACTGCAAGAGCACACACGCACAGGAGCTGAACTCGCTGAGGGGAGTACGGTCACATCTCTCACATCTGCCCCGGGGCATGGGCCCACCCACTCAGAGGTCGGCTTTAGTCAGCCATACCACTCGCTGTTAACAATGTTTATTACATTTTAAAAACTAACTTACATATTAGTGGGGCCATTCTCAGGATTGTCAGCTGTTCCTCTTCTGAAAAGGCTGTCATAGAAACTGAGGTTTGAGTTCGCAGGTTTCGCAGACACTCCCTATGTTCCCCCTCCGTTCTCCAGTCCTGTCTACCAATGGCTAGCCGCAGGGGGCTGTGAGCGTCCGCAAGTCCTGGCTGCTACCTCAGTCTCGTGTCTCCCCACTTATCATATGACCGGACTGGGACCCCCAGCGCTACTGAGTTTCTCTTATGACTGTTCTGGGGCTTTCCACCTCAGAAGATAGCCATCAACAGTAGAGTGAAGCTTCTCCTTTCACACGGTTCTGTGAGAAGTTTTCTGAAGTAGGACTTGTCGCTAAAACAAACCTTGAAAGGGGCTGTTTAGCTAACCTGGACTGCCTTCTTTTACTTCATTATAAAACTTGAGCTCCTTGTTGAAAACAGTCGTCTCTAAGGTGCTGTGCAAATCTGAAGAGCACAGAGCAATCTGTACTTCCCTGTAGTCATTCTCTTAAATGTAGGTGTACTTTTTTTTTTTTTTTTTTTTTTTAAGAATCTGAGGATTTTTTTCGTAATACAAGTTATGTTTGGAGGATTTTTTTCTTTTTTTTTTTTTAAACAGGTGGATGTTCCCAAGGCCTTGATTATTGTTGCAGTTCAATGTGGCTGTGATGGGACATTTCTGCTGACCCAGTCAGGCAAAGTACTGGCCTGTGGACTCAATGAGGCCAACAAACTGGGCCTCAATCAGTGTATGTCTGGTATCATCAACCATGAAGTAAGTACCTCCTTTGGTTTCCTAAGCACATGGTTAGAACCTCTTTGGGAATGCTATTATTGGTCAGTGACCGTGCAATTTGACTTAAGAATAAAGTGAAGATCTCACAGATGTGTTCAGCAAAAGAAGCCAGCCGCAAAAGAGTACATTCTATATCATTCCAATTATATGAAGTTTAAGAACAAGCAAAATTATGATGGTGGAAGTTAAAATAGTGGTTACTTTTGGAGGAGGGTGGTGGGTATTAACAGAAGAGGGTGGAAGAGGGAATTCTAGGGCAGTGGGAATGGTCTATAACTTTATTGATGTGGTGGTTTTATGTTTGTATGCATACAGAAAAATGTATCAAGCTGTATAATTTATAGTTTGTTATACTTCAATAAATAAATTGATTACAAAGAATCAAGTGATGGAATTCAGGTTCTACCTTATCATTGAAATAGGTGTAAGAAAATTATCAAAGAATCATATTTCTGTCTATTGCCTCTCTGGAGAGTTTTGTAGATTTATTGCTCCCAAATCACTGATACTATACAGGCTTATTAAATGTAATTACCATTCACCTCCTTCAAGGATGTCATGAAATTCACCACTGATACTAAGTTTTATTCTCCTCTTTGTGTTAGTATGATGAATTTTTATATCATTTTCTAAAGAATCAAGCCCTGGCTGGTGTGTCTCAGTGGACTGAGCACCAGCTACTGGTTCGATTCCCAGTCAGGGCACAGGCCTGGGTTGTGGGCCAGGTCCCCAGTTGGGGGCGTGTGAGAGGCAACTGATGAATGTTTCTCTCGCACATCGATGTTTTTCTTCCTCTCTCCCTCCCTTCCCCTCTCTCTAAAAATAAGATCTTAAAAAAAAAAATCAAAATAAGAGATTAAAGTTTCCTGACTCAATGGAAAACATAAGAATTAATTTTTAAAGCAGTCTCTGAAGTAGTGAACAGGGCAGGTCTGGGAGAGTGCATGGTTTGAAAAGGCATATTCAGAATTAGTTCCCCTTTATCTGAGGTTTCATTTTTCCAAGGTTTTGGTTAACCCACAGTCAGCCACAGTCCAAAAATATTAAATGAAAATATCCAGAAGTAAATCATTCATAAATTTCAAATTACACGCTCTTCTGAGTAGCATGATGAAATCACCTTTTCCCACAATTTGCTTGAAAGGCCTCTTGGTCATCATGACAACATTCTAAGCCTGTTACCCTGCCATTTTTTACCTCATGAGTCTCCACTTTTGTTTTACCTTTTTCCAGGCATACCATGAAGTTCCTTACACAACATCCTTTACATTGGCCAAACAGTTGTCCTTTTATAAGATCCGTACAATTGCCCCGGGCAAGACTCACACAGCTGCTATTGATGGTGAGTTGATATACGATTGTATACACAGGCCTTAGTAGCTCAGGCTGTTTTTCTATCAAGTATAAGCTTTTCCAAACAATATATACATTCTTCTGATTTCCCCCTAGCATCCGCTATTATTAACAAATTAAGCATTCAAGTAGATGTTTGTTGATAATCATTATAAAGGCATAATTAATACATTTCTTAATAAGAATGCCACACTTATAATTCCAGACAACTACTGTTTTTAATTAGTACCTTCTGTAAGTTTTCTAAGTTAGGTAGTACTGATTTTCTACATTTAAAATACAATATTAGAAAATACAATATTGAGTTACTTCCAGGCTCTGATTGGTCATGGTTCTGTATAGCCTAGCTGCCCCAGGTCCAGGATTGTGTGGTCAGCTTCATATTTATATACGCTAACAACCAGAAGCTAGTCCATGGAACTCTGCTTTGGCGGCTCTTTCTCTCTGTCCCATGACCCATTTTTGTCTAGTTACTTATTTTTGCTTCTCTCTCAGAGCGAGGCCGGCTGCTGACCTTTGGCTGCAACAAATGTGGACAGCTAGGTGTTGGGAATTATAAAAAGCGTCTAGGAATCAACCTGTTGGGAGGACCCCTAGGTGGGAAGCAAGTGATAAGGGTGTCCTGCGGTGATGAGTTTACCATTGCTGCCACTGATGGTGAGTCTGTACACATCCTTCCAAACTTTTTGGATGGATGGCTGTGTTTTAATTTTTGGTTGGGAAAGAGGACTGGTTATTTGTGTAGCTGGATCATATGTTTACCTTTTGTGTTAAATTGGTGGTCAGTTGCCTGTGTGTGGAGCTTCATTCATGTATTCAGCGTAATGATTGTTCTAAAAAGATCAGATTTCTTGATAATGGCAGGTTAATATTCTAAGTTTCTACTTTTTTTAACTTTTTTGGTAAAACGTCTTAAGAATTATTAAATACTAGCCCTGGCCAGGTAGCTCAGTTGGTTAGAGTGTTGTCCCCATACTCCAAGGTTGTGGGTTCAGTCCCCCATCAAGGCACATAAAAGCAGCAGCCAATGAATGCATAAATAAGTGGAACAACAAATCGATGTTTTTTCTCTCTCTTTCTCCCCCTTCCTTTCTCTTTCTAAAATGAATAAAAATTTTAAAAGAATTATTAATTAACAATATATACACATATACACTAATCCTTCCCCCCCACCCCCACCTTCAGCACTATATGGGTTTCAATAAATGTCAGCTAGGTGGCTGGAGGAGAGAACATAACTTAACCTTGCCCCTTGGTTAGAGTCAGCTGCACTATAGAGATGTCTTTAGGAATTGCTGAGGCTTGAAGGTCTGTATTCTGTGTCTCTCAGCTTTCTGGATTGCTCTGACTGAATTTTCTTCTCTTTCCTCTCATACTTATTTCTTCTCTGCAGCATCTTCTTGCTCCTGTTACCACTTTCCTTTTGTACTGTCACATCTGCTATTCTTCATTTCCTCCCCTCTTTCATCTGCTTTTTTTCTTTTTCTCGCCTCCTGAACATTTTTTTATTTGTATAGCTACTTCTTTCTTGTGGCTGGTGAACAACAAATCATATTGCATCTTCTCTTTTGACTCTTGTTTATGCTCTATCTTAAGTTTTCTTCTAGTCTACCTGTTGTATACACATGAAGGATCCAGGGATAGTATCAGATTAAGTTATCGGTTACTATATTTAAAACAGCTTTTAGTATAGTACATTAACCTTCCCTGCTTGTCCCAAAACCAAAGGTTTTAGAAAGCAAACTGTTTATGTTGAACTTGATAAATGGAAATGTTACCTAGAAAGACAGGATTAAATTTAGGTGTCACTAAGGATTAAATTTAGTAGCACTTTCTCACAGGACCTCAAAGAGGTAATTCTTTAATAGATCTGTGTATTTCATGAGTTAAGCTTCAGAATGAGGGGCTGGACATATTATTTCTTGATCAATGTTCCTATAGTCTTCTAAACTGTACTTGATCGCCTCATTCACACAGCAAACAAATTCAGTGCCTGCTATGCTCCAGGTTCCCTTTTAGGCTCTGGGAACATAGAGGTGAATCTCAGAAAGGCCCCCTCAAGGAACTTATAGTCTAGTAGTATAGGAGAGGTGTACATATAAACAGAGTAGACAAGCAGGTAGGTCAGGTGCTGATGGCAACACTGAACTCCTCTAAGCCCTGGAGTGCCCCAGGCTCAATCGTTCTCTCTCTTTACTGTCTCGCTTTACTCCCTAAGTGAGCTCGTTATCTTTTTTTTCTTTAAAATATTTTATTTATTTTTAGAGAGAGGGGAAGGGAGGGAGAAAGAGAGGAAGAGAAAGTATTAATGTGTTGATGCCTCTCCTGTGCCCGATGTTGCAGGGAACACAGTCTGCAACCCAGGCATGTGCCCTGACTGGGAATTGAACCAGTATCCCTTTAGTTCATAGGCTGGCACTCTATCTGCTGAGTCACACCAGCCAGGGCAAGCCCATTATCTTAAATCCTCCACATATGCTGATGGTTTATATACTGCCCCTGACCTACATACTCAACAGTCCCTCAACTTAGATATCTAAAGATAGGATGGCTCTATACTAGTCTAGTTTTCCTGAATCAGTCCTGATTCATGCCTATTGTCCTGGCTTAATCATTAATAGCACCCCCCTTTTCATTCAAAAATGTCCTTATTTGGATAAGAAGTTACAGGCATCTCAAACAAACTTCTGATTTTCTGCGCAGACCTGTTCTACCTGCAGCCTTCCCATCTCAGTAAATGGCAGCTCCATCATTTACCCCATATCTCATCTGTCAGTAAACCTATTGATTATCTTCAGAATGTATTCAACCACTTCTCAGCATCTACTACTACAGATGGTCTCTCTGCCTCCACCTTTAGTCCCCTGCAATCAATTCTCCTCATCGTATCCTGCTGGATTTTTTTTTTAAGTACCTACTGTTCAGAACCTCTAATAGTTTTCCATCTCAATCAGTAAAAATTAAAGTCATTACAATGGCATAGGCCCTGCATGACCAGGACACCAGCAACCTCTTGATCTCTTCTCTGACCACTGTTGCCTCTCTTACTTTGCTTCGGCTTCAGGGGCCTTCTTGTTCCCTGTTTGTGATACTCACTTTACCTACAGGACCTGTCACTTGCTCTTTCCTCTGCCTAGAAAGCTCTTCCCCTGGATGTGCACATGGCATGCGTGCTCTGTCTCTCTCTGTCTCTCTCACTTCATGTAAGTCTCTTCCAGGTGTCAACAAGTACTTCTCTGACTACCCTATCTAAAATGATAATACCCCACTATTTTTTATTTCCGCCACTTGACCATTTATCTTCCTTCATAACACTCACTACTTCTGAAGTATTAGATATTTATTTTTCATTTAGGAGTCTTCCCCCACTAGAATGTTGTTTTTACAGGGCAGAGACTTTTGTTCACTGCTCTGTCTACAGCATCTCAAGCAGTGCTTTTCATGACATAGATGCTCAATAAATAGTTGGTTGAATGAATGAATGAATGTAGGAAAAAAGGAAATAGGAAATGGCAGTACATAGGAACAGCCATTGTTTTTACCTGGGTAGTATCAGGAATTGTTTAGGCTTATATAGGGGAATAAACAGTGTTCCCTTGTTTCGTATATAATGGAAAATCTTTCTAGCTCTATGGCATAAGGATGGGGAACTCAGAGTCGGGATGCCAGTGTTCTGTTAAACGATCTGCTGTTTCATGTTTTTCCCCCCTTAGATAATCACATTTTTGCCTGGGGCAACGGTGGCAATGGCCGCCTGGCAATGACTCCCACCGAGAGAACTCATGGCTCCGATATCTGTACCTCATGGCCTCGGCCTATCTTTGGGTCTCTGCATCATGTCCCGGATCTGTCTTGCCGCGGCTGGCACACCATCCTCATTGTTGGTAAGGGTTTCATTTCTGTGTGAGGTGGCTTTGACAGAGGATAGACCTGTACCAAAGGTGCTGATGGCTACGTTCTTAGAAACAGAAGTGTCCTGAAGAAAAGAGGCTACTGCTGTTAGTCTTATAATGTCAGTGATGCCATGCCTGTGGTAGGAACAGAACATTGTCACGTCTGAGCTTCGTCATTGCCCACCTCTTGATTTTTTTTTAACATGACTTTGTTCTCTGCCCCTCTTGCCATTGAATTTTCCATTTTTAGTCCTCTACTAATTAATTTGTTGTCTGTGTTCGTGCTGTTGTGAGAACCATTTAGTACACCTTTAGAAAAAAACTAAATCATAACTGCTTTCTGCATACAGATTGCTTTGTTATAAACTAAATTATATAAATGCCTGCTGTGAGGATTTACAAGTTCATTCTCTTAGGTCAGTGGTTCACAACCTTGGCTGCACATCAGGTTTCTGGAGGAGCTTTTAGAAATCTCTGCCAATTTAAATCCAAATCTATGGTTTGGACCCAGGCATTGTTAGTTTCTAAAGCTTTCCAATGATTCCAAAGATGAGTTAAGGAGAATTACTGCTTTACATAGTGAATATAGTTAGAGTAGCTAGTGGTGCTTGGCTTATGATATTAATATCTAAAACTAATTAATTTTAATTTATCTGGAGTGAGGGATAGCAATTATCCCCTAGATTAACTCCCTGTCCTAGTCCTTCTCACTTTTCCTGCCTATAGCTGTATATAATACTTAACTACTGAATATTTTTCCTCAGAAAAAGTATTGAATTCTAAGACCATCCGTTCCAATAGCAGCGGCTTATCCATTGGAACTGGTAAGTAGCAACGTCTTAGGTACCAGTGGTTTTGTGAGGTGTGGGATTTGGGGTTGGATTCCATGCAGTCTCCCCCGAGAAAAAAGGAAATAGGAAATATCTTTGGGAAATGAGGAATACCGTGATCAAGAGGGAGGATCATATTTTGGTGGATTTCACAATAAGTTACAACTATTACATTTGGTCAGAGTGAGAGTACATCTTTGCCACCACGCATATGAAAGTAATTAAGTGGCTTGCCCACCATTGTAATATGACTTACGCATTGTTCCTTTCCTTACTATGCCTAGGGGCTATGGGTTCTGTTTACCCTATATTTCCATGGTATTCCTAGGGGTATTCTAGTATATAAAAATAGTTATTCAAAACAGGCTCTCAAAATTAAAAGTTGGCTAAACTTCCAAGTGGTTAGAAAATTAGCCCAAAGCTCCCCGGTAGTTTTCCTTTGACTTTTCTTCTTGCTGCTGTGTTATTTGGGACCATGCCAGGAAACCGGATCTGTGTTCCTTTTTGGTTTTCCGTTTACTAGAGTACCTGTAGTCTTTGATGTCTCAGAACCTGGATTCTGATATTTTGTGGAAACAAACCAATAAAAACTCAGAAAAAAGGCAGATTAATCCTCCAAAAAGAAATAGTTGAAAATCTGATGTAGAATTGTTGAACTTGAGTTTACACACATACACGCATATACATTATACTTATTAGTTCCCTTTATAATTCATTCCTCAGCATCTGTCTGCATATTAATACCTGTCATAAATGATAAACTATCTTTTCGCTAAAGCACAGCTGTTCTATTAGAGCTTTGTTTTGCTGGAACAATATTTAAAGGAAAAAACACAAGATTAAAAGCACATGTCCATTGACTAGAAAATGAAAACTCTGTAAGGGTAGGGATTTTTGTCTTTTTTATTCATTAATTTTATCCATATTGCCTAGAAGAATGCCTGGCAAATGGTAGATGCTCAGTCAGTATTTGTTAGTTGAATGTGTTATGACCATCCAGTGGAATGCTATACAAGAGTGAAAATCAACAACATCTACAAATATTTGCATAATATAAAATGTAAAAAGCAAGTTACAGCAGACTGCATACCTTTTATAAAGTTCAAAACCCAGCAAAATAAATAATATATTGCTTAAGGATACATAAATGTGTGATAAAGTTTGTTTTTTGTTTTGTTTTGTTTTTAAGGAAGCAATGATAAATACAAAATTAAATAGTGGTTACAGCTGGGTAGGAGGCCAAAGAAGGAAGGAATTTACAAAGCAGATCGAGCTATATAGGTAATGTTCTAGTCCAGCATGGTCCCTTTGCTTTTTCTGCAGCAGTGGAAATGTTCTGTATCTGTGCTGCCCAGTACAATAGCCACTAGCCACACATGTCTCGTGAGCACTTGAAAGATGGCTCAGTATCCATATATGGCTACCATATTGGAAAGTACCATTCTAGCTATTTTTTTAAGATTTTGTTTTTAGAGAGAAGGGAAGGGATGGAGGAAGAGAGGGAGAGAAACATCAATATGTGAGAGCAACATCGATCACTCGTCTTTTGTCTGCCCCTAGCCAGGGACCTGGCCCACCACCCAGGCATGTGCCCTGACTGGGAATCAAGCAGCGACCTTTCAGTTTGCAGGCTGATGCTCAATCCGCTGAGCCACACCAGCCAGCGCACCATCCTAGTTCTTCAGGTGGTGGATTAGTGTGTATTATATTGTTAGGTATCAAAATGTACACATACGTTAAAAATAGTCTTATGTGTATCTCAAATGTAACATAATTTTTAAAAGCCATTGACAACAAAAAGCAAGCTTCAGACTTATTTCAGCGCCTACAGTTCTGCTGCTTCAGCTGGATTGCACTCTGGCACCATCAGTCAGCCAGGATAGCTGGTGATCATAAACACCCTTTATATTTAACTTCAGAGTATACCATGCAATTATTTTCTTTTTAGCTTTGGCAAATTTACTTTTTAAATTATATTTTCCTTTGGCCCATAGTAAAATGCAGTTTCATTTCTTGACTATGCATCAGCTAGTCTTCATTAAGGTAACTTGAAATGTGTTCATGATATGAAAGAACCAGCCATTGTATTTTTAAATTCTTACAAATAGTTATCAAAGAATTTAAGGAATGTGATGGTTGACGACTTCATCATTCAGGATATTTCCCAAGAAAGGAAGTTGGTTTTAAGTTTATGTGGAACTTTAACTGGTTTTTGGCTGAAATGTGAAAGAGATTTGTATATAAGATGAACCTGTGGAGAATGCTGGGGTCTGGATGTATCTATTAAAGTGGGTGCTAGATTTGGTAAGCCACGGTGGGGTGATTGTTCTGCTGGGCTTTAGAACACTGATCATCTGTTATGAACATAGGGGTAAGCAAGTCTGGAAAGTAGAAATGAATTCTCATTATGAAGATACTGAACTTGTGTGTGAAAAATTTTTTTAAAAAAGAATTTTTTTAAAAAGTACTGAACTAAAAAATTGAGTCCCAAATATCTGACTTAGACTGTTGCTGTTCCACTTCATGCAACTCTGGTAACCTCCCTCAGGGTCAGTGGGGCTCTAAGATGGTAAGTCTTTCTTGCTGCATAGCAAAGTTGTATATTTCTGTGCTGTGTATCTGTCAGTGGTTCAGAGCTCTAGCCCGGGAGGAGGAGGCGGCGGCGGTGGTGGGGGAGAAGAGGAGGACAGTCAGCAGGAATCTGAAACTCCTGACCCAAGTGGAGGCTTCCGAGGAACAATGGAAGCAGACCGAGGAATGGAAGGTTTAGTCAGCCCCACGGAGGCCATGGGGATCAGTAGTGGGGCCAGCAGCTCCTGTCCTGGCTGGCTTCGGAAGGTAATTCCTTTGGTAGAGATACTGTAGATAAAATATCATGACCTTTGGAGGGACTAAAAAGGAGTTGTCAGAATCTTTCAGTCTCCTAGGTTCTATTCAAGTGTTTTGCATCAGGGACCTGGGTTCCTGATTGCTACCTGGCACAAAATCACCACATCTCAAATCCTTTTTTCTTTCTGATAAGAAGAGATACAAAATGTTTTCATATTTATATTATTTAAATGAATGCAGATTAATGCAGCCTTCCTTCAAGGCAGTTTTTGTAATGCATGTGTGCAAAGATTAAGCTTAAATGATTTTGTACTGTGGATTGTAGAAGTGGAATATTGGGGCAATTGGAATACCTTACAATAGAGAAATGGATTATGAGAGGTGAAGTACAGACAGTAAAAATGTCGGAGTATATTTATTGTATGGAAAGTTGATTACAACATCAGGCTGTGCATAAAAGGATGGAATAATACCTGTGCAGTATGATCTCATTCTTTTAGTAAATATGTAATGCATAGAAGAATATCTACTAGGAAGACTATATATTATTTTAACAGTGGTTATCCATGAGTAATGGAATTGCTGGTGATTTTTATAATCCCCCTTTGCCCATCTGTATCTTCTCATTTCTACAGCGAACACTTACAGTCTGTGAAATTTAAAACTTTTTTACCAGAAAAAGAGAATCTGTGTAATTTACAGCTCCCTATATAATAATTTGATAACCAAACTTGATAGCGGTGTAGGAGTGTGACTACAGGAACCAGCACGCCGTACCACGTAAAGCTTCGGCCTCAGCCTTTAGAAGCCTGGCAGTCAGCCTGACTAACATCACCCTAAACCTTCCCAACACACTGAGTAGCCTACATAGAATAAGTGTGTTGGAGAGACATGCCAGTCACTCCAAACTGTTCTTGAATTTGAATTCTTACCACTGTAACTCTGAGGAAAGGCTGGCAGACTGCGGACAGGTAGGATGAGCTGTGTTGAACCATAACTGTCCGGCGCCACTAGAGGGTGCTGATGTCACAACAGTGAAAGCTATACAGCAAGAAGGAAATTGGGGAGAAAGTAAAAGACTCAAACAGAGCTGATGAGATTCTTTGTTATACGCAGGAGCTGGAAAATGCAGAATTCATTCCCATGCCTGACAGCCCATCTCCCCTAAGTGCAGTTTTTTCAGAATCTGAGAAAGATACCCTGCCCTATGAAGAGCTTCAAGGACTCAAAGTGGCCTCAGAAGCGCCTTCAGAACACAAGCCCCCAGAAGGAGCCTGGGTAACTGAGCTTTTTGCCTTTGAATCTCAACTACGTAAACAGTGGCTGCGAGCTCTGCCCATTTCTCTTGGCCTCACTTCTTTTCTAGCTTCAGCGGTCTCCTAGCTGCCCTGTCTCAACTTATTATTGTATTTGGTAGTGCTTAAAGTCTCTCCTGAAGGATAAATTGATTGTCTTGGAAGAGTATTCACCCTTTCACATTGCTGACAGGCTAACACTTTCTATAGCAGAGAACTGTCTGTTCTCTCTGTTTCAGAAGTACCAAAATGGAAATTCCAAAATTCAAGTCCAGTTTTTCATGACATTGTTGGGGTGGGTTGAAGACTTTAAATTCAGGGTAGGGCAAAAGTAGGTTTACACTTGTGAGTATGTGAAACAGAGTTTATTCTTGCATTATTATTTTAGTAATTACTGTATTATTTTTCATACAAATATAAACCTACTTTTGCTTAACCCTGTATAAGAAATAATGCTTGTAGTCCAGTGAAGGAGCAATACATGTATACCTAGCCTTGACAGAAATCAGGGTTCATCAAACTTTTGGAGCCACATAGTAATTATTTTAGGCTTTGTGGACCATACATTCTCTTCAGCCACTATACCACTCTTACAACGTAGCACAAAAGCAGCCATAGATGATATATGAATGAACATGCTTGTGTTCCACCAAAACTTTATTTACAAAAATAGGCAATAGTCCTGATTTGGCCTATCAGTCTTATGCTAATTCTTGTTATAAACAGTTTACTATAGAAGGAGAAAAGTTCAGACTAGGAAAATTGAAAAGCTTCTCAGAAGAGGTAATAGAACCTTTAAACTTCAAGGTGAACTTTTTAATTCCTCTGTCAATTAGCCTTCTTGAATTGCTTTGGCAGTCCCGTTTACTGAACATCTCTCAGATCTCTTCTAAAGCCTGATCCACTACATTTCACGAACATTGACCCATTGGACCACAGTTCTCACTGTAATCAGAAAGACTTGTTCCAGACTAACTTATACTTTCCCCACTTCAGCACTTTAAATGGGAAGATATCGGTACACTTTAAACTTTTTCACAAAATAGATTGTTCTTTTACCTTAGCATAATGGAGACTGAGGCAGAGTCCTCTTGCCTTACTATGTTAGAGCTAGGTGCTCTTGTAATCCTGGCTGTTTTCTGTTCCTCTTGCATTTACTTCATATGTATGTATGTTTTATCTCATTATTTTAAAAGTAAAATCTGATAGCACCTGGAGGAAATTTGGATTGGGGAACTGTGGCATCCAGGCAGAACCTCTCATGGCCTCTTTCTCTTCGGTCTGTAGCCACCTCGGCTGACTCCTAAAGGAGCATGTGCTGGGAAGGGAACGCCATTGATCCCTCCTAGCTGTGCGTGCAGCACTCTGCAGGTGGAGGTTGAAAGATTGCAGGGTCTGGTGTTAAAGTGTCTGGCTGAACAACAGAAGCTACAGCAAGAAAACTTCCAGATTTTTACCCAACTACAGAAGCTGAACAAGAAATTAGAAGGAGGGCAGCAGGTGAGAGCATTAAAAGAATAATTCAATTTCAAAATCTGTTGTGACAAATCACAGAAACAAAACACCAATACTCCTTAGCAAGTATATACCTTCTAATGATGTAACTTTTTGAATTAATCCCATAAGCTCTGGGCCTTGTTCAGGCACCTGGATTGAATTATTTTTATCATTTAATTTCCAATGCTTTTTGTTATTCCTTTTTTTTTTCTTTTTCTTCTTATTATGAAAAACTTTAAACGTTACAGTTCAATGAACATCCATATTTCCACTATCGAGATTCAACAGTTAACATGTTGCCATATTTGTTTCATGCATGTGTGTGTGTGTGTGTGTTTAGATTTATTTGTGTATATGTGTGTATTTAAAATGTGTGTATTTTATTTTGCTAAACCATTTTCAAGTAAATTATAAGTCATGACATAGCCTAAATATTTTATTACACATATCCAAAAATAAAGACATTCATTCTCCTGAATAACCAAAATACTATCACACTTAACAAAATTAACACTAATAATATCAATTCTTATCCAGTATCCAGTTGATACTTTAATTTTTCCAGTTTTCCCACAAAAAAAGGTCCTTAACTATTATCAGACCAGAATCCAGTCAAGAACCCTTCTTTACATTGTTATGTCTCTTGTTTCTCTTAATCCAGAACAATTCCCTCTACCACAATCACTTTTTTTTCTTTTTCTTTTTTAATTTTCATGGCATTGACCTGAAGAAACAGGGTCAGTTGTTTAACAGAATGTCTGCATTTCTGGATTTGTCTTGTTTCCTTGGGACATTGCTTAACTTGTTCCTTTGTTACCCTGTCATTTCTGTAAACTGTTAAGTTAGACATATAGCTCAATTAGATTTAAGTTGAACATTTTTCATAAAAATACTTCACAGGTGATGCTGCTTGCATTGTTTTTAAAGAGCCATATCTGATAGAGTGAACTAGGATAGGAAAATATGCTTCAACCCTTGGCTTTGCCACTTATCAGCTTCCTATGTTTGGACAAATTACTTTTTTTCAGTGAGCCCCGGCTTCTCACCTAAAAAAAGAAAATAATACCACCTACTTTGTATGGTTGTTTTGAGGATTAAATGAAATAATGTCTATGAACATACTTTGAGAAGTATGTACATACTTGAGGTAAGTGTGGAAGGATTGGCAGCTGCAGCCGGCAGGAGGATTGTTTTGCCTAGAGCTGTCTCAATTTTAAAAGTGAGAGTTCTAAATCCCAGAAAATCTGCAGGCCTAGACAGACCTGGACAGTTGGTCATCCTACCTACAGCAAATGTAAAGGTGCAGACTTTCCCTGAGGTAGTATTATGAACTTCTCACAGAACTGTGGCCACAAAGCCTTAGAGTTTGACACTGAAAATCTCATCCTGAACTGCTGTGATAGGCAGCAGGAGTGTTAATGTGGAACTGTGTTTTATCCGGACAGATGGGGATGCATTCCAAAGGAACTCAGACGGCAAAGGAGGAGACGGAAATGGATCCAAAGCCTGACATAGATTCAGATTCCTGGTGCCTCCTGGGAACAGATTCCTGTCGACCCAGCCTCTAGTCTCCTGAGCCTCTATGGCCTCCAGGAAACTGGGATCCAAAGAACTTCACAGCACACTTACTGAATGCAGAGAGCGCTTTCCTGGCTTTGTTCACTTGCAGACAAGGAGCGCAAGGCGGAGGCTCTGAAGCACTTTCCACATACACTTGGAGAGTGGCACTGCCTATTAGATAGGATCTAGGAGTGGTTTTGTTCTGGAGAATGGAAGGGCCCAATGGCCCTGGCTTTGTCCTCAGTGACTGCCATAACAACAGCAGCTCTGTACCTCATCTGGTGATCCCACCTTTGAAGAGGAGACACAATGCTCACCTTAATTTTGCTGGTAGCAGCTTATATCCCATTTATCATTTTCACCAATAATTGGAAGCTGCCTTGGGAATTCAGCACCAGGCATTGCACCTCTGGGTGGAGGAGGGAAGTGTCAAGCTGGAGTGGGCTGGAACCAGGCATGGCCCGTCCAGGGTCATCTGGAGAATGGTCAAGTGCTCTGAGCTCTCTTGGGAGCCCTGAGTCCAGGAAATTATGTCTGGTGGAGTCAGTCTCTTGGGCTTGTTTTCAGAAAGTTCAGTTACATTGTGCAGCTCAGTGCTTTAGGAGGAAAAGTGGGCTTAGATTGCTTTTCCTCTGAGATTGATTGAAATTTCTTCAGTGAGGAGTAGAGAAAGAAGGGCAGGTCCCTCCTCATCACACAGCTGGAGTGGAGTGTCAGGCTGTGGCCGATGCAGGGTGGGCTTTCCTAGCTTTGGCAGATACCTCTCAGAGATGAGGTGTCTTGTACAGAACTGAGTCAGTGGGGCAGTAGGAATGGCCGTAAGAGAAAACTGTGAGGGAGAGGAAGTCCCCCTTTAGCTGCCTCTCTTGGCATCCTTGAGAGGGCCTAGAGTGATTCCGAGTCTTCTACCCATGAGGAAGCTTCCTATGCCTCTTCTTTCATGGCTCTTCGGGCTCTGATCTTGATGGCATCAGCCCCAGCCACTCCCTTTCTGTATGTCTAGTCAGTATTTTTTCCCCTTCGGTGTTTTATGAAGCCATATCAGTGAATCTGTATCATCTTTCCTTCTTGAGTGGCCCAAAGCCAGCCCTAAAACCTGGTAGTCCCTGAAGCCTAACTGAACAAGTAGAACCTGCCAAGAGAAAGGAATGGACTGCGAGCTCTCTTCTAACCCTGTAGTCACGTTCTAGACAGGAGCAAGCTAGCTTTCCCGAAGAAGGTGTCCTAGAAGCGTTTGATGATTTTACTTTAGGATGTGAGCTTTGTGTTACTCCCTAGGCTTGTGAAAGGTTCCTGTGGTATTTTGGGTCCCAGGAGCTGCCTTTATGAGTTTCCACATCCTACCTTCCTAGAAACAGCTACATTATTTTTGTTTCATTTTCCCTAAACCAAAAAATGAATGCTTGATGTCTGTTTGATATTTTGGAAGGATCTGTGCAATGGAAATTTTGTCATTTCCCTAAAACTGGTGATGCAAAAGCTGGTGCTCCAGGAAAACCCCATGGCTGGGGATGGGCAACTCTGTTCAATGGGACCTTCTTTGGTTTGATGTTCCCATTGTTTTCTCAATTCTGGGAAGCCTAGTACAATAGTACTAATGTAATCACTGAAGCCTTTTCTTAAAATAAGGGAAGGGGCCAAACCTGGATTTAGCTACAAATTCTGGTGACTTGGGGGTTTGCAATAAGCCCTAACAGTGGGTTTTTGGTTCATCATGTAAATGCAACTTTGGTGTTTTAAAGGACTGACTGGCCTTTCACCTTCATGTATTCCTCATGCTTACCCTGTCAGCAGGCCTGAGAGGCAGGTCATTTTGGGTGTTAATCGTGAGTGTTACTTCCGCTGTGGGTCTGAGGAACATGGGACGTTGCTGAGACTGCGGGACGGAAGTTAGCATTAAAGGGAGGGCGAGAGCCCCGCCCTTGTTCCAGAGCGGAGTTACGCTCCAGCAGTGGAATGCTGTGGTCATTTTCTCAACATGTTCCCTTGGGAAACCTAGGTTTGCTATGAATCTGGCTGAGAATCTGGGTTCTGTGCCTTAGAAACAATTTGCACTTTCCCAAATTGTGCCTGGGACAGCCATATGATTTTTCCCACCAAACAGCTATGCAAACAGAAGCCAGTTCAAAGGTGGCAGCCATGCATTAGGTAAAAAGTGAAAGGTGAGACAGTAGAAATGCCTTTGAATGGTTTTCTGTAGCTAATTCTCTACTTTTCTTCTCTATGCAATGCAAGGTGTTTTAAGTTTTCCAGTAGTAGTACTTTTGAGTTATAATATAGTCTGAGTCACTCCTCTGCTCTGACGTTGTTGCTGAAGAACTAGCTTTTGTTAGCCAGATGTTTGAAAGGTTGAGGGTGGAGTGGTTTGGCATTTCTGTTTTAAATAAACATTTAAACTTTCAATCAGTGCTATGCCTCAGTAAGTCTGTGCATGGACCCTAGTCACTGGGGATAAAACACTCAGATTCTAGGCCTTCATGAATCTTTTGAGTCAAACAAGACTTTGCATTCTGTAACAGAAACAATGCAAAGGACATTTGCACAGAAATAATCTTTGCCTCTTTCCAATTTATTTTTCTTGCTATCAGAATCATTTCCGCTGCTACAACACCCCCCCCCCCCCCCCGCAACTTCTGAAATACCATGCTTAAAATGCAGAAGGAGGCGGGGGGGAAAGAGCCATTAAAAGAGGAAGGATCCTCGTAGCTGGTGTGGCTCAGTGGATTGAGTGCCACTGGCCTACTAACCAAAAGGTTGCCTGTTTGATTCCCAATCGGGGCACATGCCTGAGTTGGGAGTCAGGTCCCCAGTTGGGGGCGTGCGAGAGGCCACAGATCCACGTATCTTGCACATTGATGTTTCTCTCCCACTTCTTTCTCCTTCACTTGCCCTCTCTCTAAAAGTAAATAAATATCTTTCCCAAAAAAATAAATAAAAAAGGAAGGATCACTTCTGATACTTGTCTCCCCAGTTACAGTGGGCTTTTTCAAATGGAAGTGCCTGTTTATGTTTATAAAACTGTTTTCCCTCAAAGAAGTTGAACTGTATTTTGGTCTCCCTGGCATAGCACAGCCAAGTTACAACCTCTCTTGGCTGAGCACTTCACTGGAGTTTAAAGCAAAAGCAGCCTTGTACTCACATTTGATTTGATTTGCCATATATTTACAATCATTCATAACAGAACAACTGGAGCAAAGATGTATTGTAAATAATTCAAATAAGTAACCCTGGACCTAAAAAGAAGTATTGTTCATGACAGTGTTAGGGCAGAGTAAGCTGTGGTCAGGGCTACAAAACATGTTCCTTCCTACTACAAAGCCAAAAATCATTTATTGCTTCAATAATTGACTATGGACATATACTGATCACTAAGCCTCACAGAATCGTAATAATAGGGAGTAAAACACTGTATCACATCTCTGCCGCCTTCTATGATAAATTGATGAACAAAAAAATGTTGGCCAAAAGGTCCTGTGCCACCTTAAATACGCTTCTGTTAAGAAGCACTATCTTAGCGTGCCTGTACACACTTTTAGATGAAGTGAGTCACCATATTTTCCCCACTGCCTAACCTTTTGAACTTTAAAATTTATAACATTTACATTCACTGAAGTTCTTGGATAATGTAGTATAACACATGGACTAACAAACATTTATTTCTCCACAATTGTCCTGTGCTATCCAGGAAGAGACTTAGAAAAATGTTTCTAACCCTGTCCCAAAGATCACATCAAGCTAAATTTAAAAGACTAATAGACATTGCTAATAAAATGAAGGCCTCAGCATGTTGAGATTGAAGGGAACACTAAGACATTGTTTTATTTCTCTAGCAACATTAAGAATGAATCCTTCCTGTGTCTGTGGAAAGCATTCCTCCCACACACTTTTGCTCTCCCTGGAGGGCCCTGATCTGTGGCCTTAATATCATACAGGGATCCCAGACCCAGTGCCCGTGGGGCTAGGCAGGTAAGACAAATCGGTGAAGCAGGCCGGCGGAGCTCTGGTGATCTGAACGCTCTCCCTGCTCAAGGAGTGACTGATTCTGAACCTCCCTCAGTTAGTGCTGTGCTCCGTTGCCAACCTGGTGTTTCCAGAACTTCCAGTTGTTTAAGAGATGCTCCACATCCCAATTTTTTAAAGCTAGATTATAGTTTTAGTTCGGTGCCAGCCAAATAAAACATATTCGTGGGGCAAAGCAGTCCACAGGCTACGACGTAGTAACGCTGACCACAGCTCATTCTTGCCATCTATTGTTTTTACTATCAAGTGTGAAAGTGTGTACCTTATTAAACCTGCCTGGAGAATGAATATGTTAGATTAAAATATCCAGGATGGCCCTGGCTTGAGCACCAACCTGCGAACCAAAGGGTCGCCCGTTCAATTCCCGGTCAGGCCACATGTCTAGGTTGCAGGCTAAGAGGCAACCCGTCGATGTGCCTCTCACACACTGATGTTTCTCTACCTCTCCCTCCTTTCCACTCTCTCTAAAATTATATAAATAAAATCTTAAAAAATAAATCTCGTGCATCTATGTGAGGTTTCTTTAGGTGGCAAACCAAAAGCCCTGTTATGTGATATATCTTTCTTTGCAACAATTAAGAGCAACAATAAAGCAATTCAATAGATGCTGGCTTTAAGATATATAAATTTTAGCCCTGGCTGGGTGGCTCAGTGGATTGAGCGCCTGCAAACCAAAGCGTTGCCGGTTTAATTCCCGGTCAGGGCACATGCCTGGGTTGCAGGCCAGGTCCCTGGTAGGGGGCATGTGAGAGACAGCCATACAATGATGTTTCTCTCCCTCTCTTTCTCCCTCCCTTCCCCTCTCTCAAAATAAAATATTAAAAAAAGTAAAATATATAAATTTTAGCCCAGGCCAAATAGCTCATTTGGTTAGAGCGTCATTCTCATGTGCCAAGGCTGGGGGTTCAATCTCCAATCAGGGAGCATACAAGAATCAACCGATGAATGCATAAATAAGTGGATGAATGAATCAATGTTTCTCTCTAAAATCAATAAATAAAAAAATTAAAGTATATAAATTTTTTTTAGCTTAGTGTTCTATAGCTTCACAGCTAAAGCCTTAAGCTCACATTTCAAATTGGTTTGATCTGTTAGCCCAATTACTCAGCAGAAGCTGCAGAGGAAATGAAACAGGAGTTAGTGGCCATCTGTTGTTGAGTAAAATATGGTTCTGTTGTCTGCCCAGTCCCCTTTGCCCAGGTCAGGTTGGGTGGGGTTTTTTTCCAGGATTTTAAAATAACATTTTGAATAACTGGACAATAACCCTACTAGTATTTCAAATCTGTTACACTAGCTTCATCCTACCGGAACTGCTATTACCCCTGTCAGACATTACCTTATCACTGCTCCCCTATGGCACATCTAGGACACGCTCATTTTATTATTTGGTTAATTTTTAATCCCCAAAAACCCATTTTTTGAGGGCCTAATAACGGTTATTGGCACTCCGCAGATGGTTCCGCACATAGAGAATTAAAAAGATCTCGTACCTTTTCCTTCAAAGTTTACTTTCTAAAGTAGAAGTTAACTGGTATAAGAAGCAGGGACACAGGACACAGCTTGCCCTGATGGTGCATTTTGCTGCTTCATTTAAAACACCATCCAACCAACTCCACCACCCTAATTTGAAAGAGTGCTAGCAGCAGCTGAAACTGGAGTGTCTTCCCTGTTTTTGACTTAGAAAAGAAGAACCAGAGAAATATAGTGTGCTTTCCCCCATCCCTACCCTTGGAAGTACATAAAGGTGAGGTTGCCTTTATTACACAGCACACCCTAGGGAGAGTTCAGGATATATTAGCACTCTAACCTTAACATGCTTGTGTTGGCTTTTAGGCAGGACCATGCACCAGGGAAGTTAAGGATATACTTCCAATTTCCTTACACCAAAATCATACTATCTTTTACAAGAGATACCATCTGGGTGACCATGATCCTCTGATACCAACTCTTCATAATGAGCCAACTTCCTGCAAGAGCAAGAAGGGTTAACAGGGACCACAGACAGACAAGCAGAGCAGTGGCAAGAAGGCAGAACGAATGTGGGCACTGAGCACAAACCACAAGTGAGCCTGTAAGAGCGCTTTAATGTAGCCAGCTCACTGGTCCCAAGGGTCTTCGCCCGTCAGTCCTTGGGGCAACAACACAAGGCACATCAGCCTGAGGGGGTAATTTAGTGGGGAGCGGAGGCTTCCCTCTGTCTCCCGCTGCTTAGCAGTGGGTTTCTCCTCATTGAGTTCAGCTCTGGGAAGATCTGGGACATGTAAAAGTTTTAGTTCTTCCTGCTTTGCATCAAATTACTCTCCCACTTAACTGCTGAGGAGAAGCAGAGCTTGCCTGAGCTATTGAGGAGGTTTCCACTGTTGTCTGCTCAACTGCAATGCTTTCTTGGAGGTGGAGGACGGTTCTTAATGGTCTTACACTTGGGAATGTGCCGCTCAGCCACCTTGGGAGCAAAGTGACGGCTACAGTGAGGACACTGAATATAGTCTGGATTTTCTGCAGCTGGGATGGGAGGCAAGTCTGAGGGGTTTCCACCTTTGGCAATTACCTGCTGGACCTCTCGAGCCTGACGGAGGGTACGGATGAAAGATTCATGCTTCTGTCTCCAGTTGCTCTTCGGGGGAGGTTCAGCCTGTGAGTAGAAGGAAGACCGATCATTTGGATCATTTGACTTGGCGGTTACTTCAGCTCCTGAGTCTCCACTAGCATAACAGTAAGGAAATAAAAAGGGTGTTAATCCGCAAGGTCAAAGAGAACAGGAAAGGAGGACAGGGAAGACTGACTGACTGGAGGAGAGGCACTTAAACTAAGGGTCTGCAAAGGGGGATGAGTCCTGAGAGGCAAGCCATTTCCCCAGCAGAGGCCTTAAGAACTTCAGTGCTTGGAAGTGCCAGGAAGTGCCATGTACCCCGCCTTGCACAGCCAGCACCCTCACAGGAGAATGGGGGTTTATTCTCTGGAGAAACTCAACCAGACAGGTGTCAGACAACAGGAAATCCAGGCATGGGGGAGAAAAGGGTAATCTTGGGACTGAAAATGGGGATTCAGTGTGTCTATATAATGAATTGGGGAACTGTCAGCTTCCCTCCCCTGTTCAGCTCCCAGATTACCAGGCACATGGGCACCTTCTTAGGAGACTGAAAGGTTTTCAGGATGCACCGAGCAGGTGACAGAAAAGCCATCAGACACTTGCTCTGGAGGACCCAAATGTGAAGGTCTTTAGTCAAGAAGCCCCACTTAAGCTTAGATATTAATGGACAGTCAAGTATTGACAGATACTTGAGTAAATTCTCACAAGAGAGAGACCAAAACAAGTACACGAGCAAACACACACATTCAGGAAGCAGCAACAGGCAGGTTGTGGAAAACATTTTTTTTAAATTTATTTTTAGACAGAGGGGAACAGAGAAAGAGGAGAGAATCATCGATCGGCTGCCTCTCACCGCCAACCAGGGACCTGACCCACAACCCAGGCATGTGCCCTGACTGGGAATCGAGCCAGCAACCTTTTGGTTCATGGGATGGTGCCCAGCCCTTGAACCATACCAACCAGGGTACAACCTAGTTTTTCTGAAGCTATGAATGTTAACCAAAAATAAAGTCCTTTACCTTTAAGGTGTTTACACTCTAAATGGAATTTCAAACTTAATTGTGTTTTATGTATTTACTTAGAAAGTATAAAAATTGAGCTAATCTTGAAAAAGTAGGTGTGGATACAGAAGTGATAACAGATTCTGATCTTGGGAGGTGGCAAAATATATTGCAAAGTGAAAGTAATTCTCTTGAGGTAATGAAATGTAGAATAGTTTAAATTAAAAAAAAAATTCTACAGGAAATGTTTATTATTTTTACAATCAAAAGGACATATATTTTTAAGTCTAGATTTTGGAGTCATTCCAAACCAGATTTATATGCTAACTCTGCCATTTAAAGCTGTTTGTAATCTCAAGCAAATTAACCTCTCTGAGATTTGATTTTTGAACTGATAAGAGATAATGAAATCCTTACATCGTTGTGGTAAGGGTCATAGGAAAAGCTCCCATCACAGTAATAAGAAATGTTTCACTTTCTCCCTTTATGACACTTGAAATCCTTCTTAAAAAGAAAAAAAACAAACCTTATGAGGAATAACAGGCCCTTACAATAATCCCCGCTCAAAGTCAAATCTGTAAGGCCCTTGGTACCTTGACTGAGGCCGGTCCTTTCCAGTTCAAGTACTGTTCCAGTTCTGTGCCCTTGGCGCGGGCCCTGACGGAGTCAAACACTTTCCTCCTGGAGCCCTGCAGCCTGCTGCAGACAGTGGAGTGTCTCTCTAGCCTGAGCAAGAGAAACTTGCGTCCACAGTGACTGCACTCGCCGAGTTCTGGCTCTTCAGTGGAACAGTTGGAACCTGAGGAGTCTGGAGCCCTAGACAAGTTAGAATTGCTGGTGGACCTTGGCAAAGCACTGCCTGGCGCTTCTGAAGGCTGAGAAAATTTCTCTTTCACTGGCTCTGAGACTTGGTTTTGGATTTTGTTATTGCTTGCTACTAGACTTCCCCTTTTGAGCTTCTGTATCCCATAATCAGAGAACTGGAATGGACTAGAATTTTTGTGAGACCATCCCCAAGTTTCACCCTCTCCACTGTCTCTACTGAAGGCCTCCTTAGACTCGTATTTCTGGGAGAAGATAGGTTTGTACAAGGAGTTGCTATTACCTTTAACTTTTCTCCTGGGGGGTGTCAGTCTCTGTGGCTCTCTTTTTTCATTTTCCTCAAACTGTTCCTTTTCTTTCTGGATCCTTCTGAGTTCCTCCTCCGTCTTTTTCAGCTTTTCCTTCAGGAGGGTCTCTTTTCTTCGGATTTCTTCCTCTAAACTCTCCCCTGTAGCTTCTAGTCTTTGGATCTGCGTCCATTCGGTCCTTTTGGGGTTTGCCATGGCCCTCTCCTCCTGCATGGCAGCAACATTACTGACCGCAGATGAATTTGCCCAGTTCCTCAAACCGGAGCTGCTGTATGAAAACTCCCTTGGCTCAGGGGGTCTTGGGGAGACATCCTGGTCCCAATCCACTCCAGCCTCACCTGTACTACGAGACTTCCGATGGAACACGGGTTTCAGTGGATATGCCCGGTCCACTCCAACTCGCTTCTTTGTAAAGGGGAAGAACTTCTGGTTATTTGCTCTGGGATACCAAGACTGAGGGCCTGACGAGTAAAACAAATCCTTTGCTTGACTCTGGAGACTGCTTCTTGGATCTTGCTGGCTGATTCCAGCACAGCGAGGATAGAAGTAGCTCCAGGCTTTTGTGCAGGTGTTCCATTTGGACTGAGTGTGGAGACTATTCAGCGTTGGCTCTTTGTTGCTCAAAAACTTCTCCTGGGAAGTGTTCCTTGGGTGCCCCGTGGACGCCAGCTGGGACGAGTCCATTTTTTCATAGGGGTTTTCCTTAGCTGAGTGGAACCCTGGAGCGTCTGTTTTTTTATATGGGAGCATAACGCCCACAGGCAGAGGTAATGCCAAATGGAGACCAGCCATTCAGGGCCTGGACTGAAGCCTAGGGGAGATTTAAACCAGATATATGTGAGAAGTTTGTCTGAGATTCACTCTGGTCACTAAAGCAAACTGTACATTTGTCCTTCCCACATTTTCCTTTAAACTTTTTAGGACAGCGGTGCTGCGTCTGCTTAGAGCTTTCCTTCAATATGCTATAGGTGAGTTCTTATTTTGTTCTGTGAGTGCTAATTAGGTCCCGAGGTCAGAAAAACGAAAGTGATACAGTGTTCCCGCCTAAACCAGTACCAACCTCCTGTACTCACTGATGCTCCCGCCATCCACAGTATACTCCCTAATAGGTGGAAAGAGCTACAAAAAAGAGCTATTGGATTGAAAGTCAGGTTTCAGTCCTGTGACACAGGTCAAGCAACTTGCGCTTGCCAGCTCCAGTTTTTTCTCCCAGAAGCTGAGGGGTTCGCTCACAGTTACATGATTGTCATTTAAGGATCTTAGGACTCCAAGATCATTTTACCTGAGAAAATTGCGGCCCAGAGGTAAGCGACTGGCACAAAGAGCTCTCAGGGCTTCCCTCCTGCCGGATACCTGCTTGACTCCCAGGAGCAAAGAGGCCGCTCAGGGCCTGCAGCAGGTGCCTGGCTGTCAAACCCTCACCCAAGGAGCAGGAGTCTCCGCGGCCAGACAAGGGAAGGTCTGTAACCTGACAAGCGGCGGGGCGGGGCGGGGGGGTGGGGGGCAACCTGACCTTACTGCCGCGCGTTTTGGATCCGGAACACGGAAGTCACATTCTGTCCTGGAGGGTCAGCCGGGCGCCCCCACTGGGGACTCGGCTTTGGAGACAAGCCTTCACTCTTTTGTCCATCGGGCCTTTGGGAGGTCGAGGCGCTGACCCCATGTCACCCCGCTCTTCCGCGTACCTGAGGCTCTCAGGGTCAACTGCTCAGTGAAAACCCCAGGACTTAGTTTTCCCGACCAAACCCCCTTCACTCAACCGACGGCCGCGCAGGCGCTCTCAGCCGACCCCTGTTATTCCCGTCGCCTGGAGACGGGCGCGCCTGCGCGCCCAGCCCCACCGCCCGCCGCGAATACCTTGGGGGAATCAAGCACAGGCGCAGTCCTAACGTGATTGGGAGCGACCCGGGAGGGGCCGAAGTCAGCCTAAGTGTCACTTGATTTGGTGTCCCGTCACTTGGCAGCTCTGTCCAGCCGTGCCCTTGGGGCAAGGGGGAGGAGACGGGGAGGCTTTTCTGGGGCTCCATCAAAGAACTCGTGTTTTTCTGAGAACTATGACCCGGGACGTGGGGCATGCGCTCCTCCGGAAGAAAAGGGAGCCCCTTAGCTATGCCCTCGAGTCATTGTGCCGCCACACTCCGAGGTACGCCCACTTAGCGGGAGTGGGCCTACTGATTGCCTTTCTTAGCACCGCCGGCTCCTCGGTCTGGGCCCCAGGTATGGCTCTGCAATATTTCTCCGTGCCTTTCCTCGCCTGTAGTTTGGACTCTGCAGTCAGATTTTAGCAACTCGGCTAGGTTTTGTTACTCTGTCTTTCTGCGGTAGTTTTGTAGCCAATCTAATTATTTTGATTTAGTGTTTTACTCTCACGTGGTAACTCCTTCTCTTCTTAGGGCCCAAGAATGACTCATCCAAATGTAATGATAATAAAGTTAACTGTTAGATTGAAAATAATTAGTATAACCTGATTTCAACACTAAATGATACATTATGACTTGTCAACATAAGAAGAGTTCATTTCCCTCATGCTTCAGTTCATTTGTGTAGGCCGTATGGAACAGGCAACTGGTTATTTTCCCTGTAACTACGTAAAAGATTCATGCACAAGGAAAATAATATAGGCAGCCGTGGTAGGTGTTAATACTTCAACATCTCATATTACAGCTTTTACATATTACAAAGAAATTCCTTGGTGAGTCCTCCAGAGTATTTTTTTAATTCCTTGTTTTCTTTCCTAGTTGACTCTCTCCTGCCTTCTCTGTATCATAGGGAGTTCCAGACATTTCCCACTCTTAAGGTTCCAATTATCTCAGCAGTCGCCTGCCTGTCATCAACTCCCCTAACTCTCTAACAGTCTGGCAGAAATCTAGAAATCCAGGAAATCTAGGGTGCCTCCCTGCATCTTGACTTCCTTTCTTCTTTTTTTTTTTAATTTATTTATGTATTTATTTAATCCTCACCTGAAGACATTTTTTCATTGTTTGTTTGGTTGTTGTGGGGGGAGGGGGGAGAAACACAGACGTGAGAGAGAAACAGGGATGGGCTGCCTATTTGCACTTGCCCCAACCGGGGATCAAACACGCAACCTGGGGTATGCCCTGGCCCGCAGGCTAATTTTGGTGAACAGGATGACGCTCAACCAATAAAGCGGTGTGCCTTCCTTCTTGTTTTTGAGGAAGGATCTTTCCCTTTCATGAGTTCTCCAGAATTAGTCCCTTTCAGGAATGGACTCCATCTTGTTAACTTCCAGTTGTATCTGTCCACATACGCCTTCTCTTTGGTTTTAAAATACAGAGGTGGACAAAAGTAAGTTTATAATTGTGAGTACGCAAAACAGAGTTTATTCCTGTTATTTATTAACTGTTGTATTATTTATTTGTATTACAACTGTAAACCTGACTGGGAAATTTTTAGTTTCAGGTAAGTTTCATTTTCAGTTTTAGTGTCAGGTAAGCTAATAAAATTAATAATCAATGTATGTAAAAAGCTGTTGTTTCAGAAACTGGAGGTATGACTCACTCTGACTCCAGGAGACCATGAGCAGCTCCACCTTTTTGCCTCAGGAGGACGGCAAGCAATCAAAATGGTATCTGAGTCATTGTGCTCGGGGGCAGACACCCACAGAGAAAAACCACTGCCCGGGCACAGATAAAGATCACCGCCCAGGGCTCAGATGAAAGAATGCTGCAGCTTTTTATCTGATTAACTTTTTCCCTGAATTCCAAACCCCCTTACCTACACTTTTCTTCTCCTTACAAAAGAGTTGGTTTAAAATGGAATTGAAGACAGTCTGTTAGGGTTTAGGGTACAAACCCACCTTCTTCTCAGATCACGGACCACCTGAACAAAGTGCCCATAAAGATTCAATCCCTGCCTCTGCTTATTGGGTCTGGTAGGTGACAGGCAGCATGAATGGTGGCTTTTCTGGTTTCAAACCTGCTTTTGCCCACTCCTGTATGCTTACTTCCCCTACAGAACAAATCTTATTTCCCTTGACCTGCTGCCACTTATCTTAGGGTACCATTCATTACTCCTCTTCTCCACAAGGCTTCTTGGTAGAAAACTTTACATTTGCTGTCCATCACTTCTTCATCTCCTCCTCACTGTTCAGTCCATTATGGTGTGGCATCCACTCTTTTCACTTAACTGCCAGGCTGCTGGTGACCTTCCAATGACTAAAGACAAAAGCTGCTGCTTCTTTAGCCTACTTATTTTATTTTATTTTTTTATCAAATTTTTTTATTTTTAAAAATATTTTATTTTTATTACAATTTTTAAAATTATAAATCATGTTTATTCTATTACAGTTGTCTCAATTTTTTCCCCCTTTGCCCCCCTCCACCCATCCTACCCCCACCCCCACAGTCAATTCCCACTCGGTTGTCCATGTCCGTGGGTCATTCATACACGTTCTTTGTCTAGTCCCTTCCCTTTCTTTCCACCATTGTCCTCTTTCCCCGTCCCCTTTGGTCATTCTCAGTCTGCTCCATGTTTCTGTGCCTGTAGTTTATCCTGTTCATTAGTTTATTTTGTTGAATGGAGTCCACTTATAGGTGAGATCATATGGTGTTTGTCTTTCATCAACTGGCTTATTTCACTTAGCATAATATTCTCCATTTCCATCCATGTTGTCACAAAAGGTAGGAGTTTCCATCTCTCTCTCTCTCTCTCTCTCTCTCTCTCTTAAATGCAGATTGATTTTATTCTTTTAAATGTCAAAGTTAATTATAAAATATTAAAAAAATTTAAAACCATTATAGTCTCAGCAATTAAACCAACATGACACCAGCACAGAAATAATCAAGTAGATCAGTGAAACATAATGAGCATTCTAGAGACAAAAGTATATATCTGTCTAACAATGTAATATATGATTAAGTTGACATTTCAAATCAATGGGTAAAATAAGGTTTATTCAACAAAAAAGGTGCGTGGACCACTATTACTTGAAATAAAACAAATATAGAGCCCTATTTCACACATTATACAAGAAATATTCAGGTGAGATAAAAATCAATATGTAGAATCAAAGGAGTTTTAGAAGAAAAAAGAACTAATATTTTTCTTACCCCGAAGTAAAATATTCAAACCCAGAAGCTATAAAGTAAATATTGACAATATGACTATATTAAACATTTAACTGTATAGTAATATACATATAAAAAGTTAAAGGACAAGGAATAGAATAGAAGAGTATTTGCAACACATCTAAAACATGGTTAATAGGTTGGGTTTTTTTTTAAGGGAAAAAAGTTCTACAAACCTTTAATCAATAAATGGATAAAGAATACCAAAAAGTCATTTAAAGCTTTTTTTTAAATAATAGAAATAGGCAAGAAATACACTAAAACAGGTTTAGTTTCAACAAATAGTAAAGGAACAATTAACATCATTGTCACAATCAGATTAATGAGTATTGAAAATATTGGTAGAAATTCAATCTTCTCACTCAGAATGAATCTCTTTGCTCTTTTGCTCTTTGCACTAAATTTAAGCCAATCAAGTATTGGCAACTCTGAAAGGACCTGGGTATTCATAGAAACTTTTTCTTCATCTTAAAGCAGTCCCTTTAGCATATTTTGCAGTGCTGGTTTGGTGGAGGTGTATTCTTTTAGCCTTCTTTTGTCTGGGAAACTCCTTATTCCGTCTTCCATTTTAATTGAGAGCATTTCTGGGTGGAGCAGTCTTGGTTGCAGGCCTTATCATTGATTTTTTTCACTCCCTTGGAAATGTCTTCTCATTTTGCCTTCTTGGTTTCTTTCGTGCCCTTGCCTTGTCTTCTTCCAGGCCTCTGTCACTTGTCTCTTCCTCACCTGTCCCCCAAGTTTAGCTGTTCTCCTGAGCCCTCTTATTTCTCATGTATATGCAGATCCAGGCATGCTCTTCCTTAATGGTTTCAACAAAATGCTGAAAATTTAGGTGTCACCTGTGTTTAAATGATATAAGGCTTAGCTCTCTCTCAGTTACAGATTCAAATTTCCAACTTCCCATTTAGTTCCTCAGGAACCTCAAACTCAATGTGACATAAAACAAACTCATAATCATGTCCCCATTCTCCCAATCCACTTCTTTAGTATTCCCTGTCCTGCTGAAAGCATCAGTCCTGTTCTGCTTCTCCTTCTTTGTCACCCCTTTCCTCTAACTGGCTGGCAGGCTTGCTTGAATTTACTCTGCAAAGTCTTAATAAATGACTCTTCTTTATAGTTCCACTGCGCTAGGCAAGTTCTTCCTCACTTCTCATTGGGATGGCATGTGTCACTGTCCTAAACTGCTATTCTTGTCTTCAACATCTGCTCTCCAAGCCCACCCTTCATGCTGCTGCCAGAATAATTATCATAAATATGCCTGATCCTGCCATTCTGCTACCCAGTGGCTTCTACTTTACCTATAGAATAAAGTTGAGATGGGTAATTTATCCTTGTATTTCAACCTCTCGCCTGCCTTTCAAGCCCTTCCTCCCCAGAGTCTAATCCACTGGATTTCAACCCTGACTGTGCTTTAACACTACCTGAAAAGCAATTTGGGGGGATGAGACCTGGGTTTCAGCATTTTTAGAGGCTCCCCCAGTGTGCAGCCAGGATTGACAATCCCTGGTCTAGCCACATCTGACTACTTGCACTTTCCTATCTCAGTGGTACTACCTTACTCCAAGCTCCACAGACTGGGAGATGGTAGGGCATGGCTTTCATGGGAGTGGGCTCTGTACTTACACTACTTGGAACAAAATCCCAGCTCGATCGCTTACTGGTTGTGGTTGGATTATA